GGGAAGGGAGGGGGCCGGCCGCCCGCGGGTTTGAACGCGGGGAGGAGGCGAAGGAGGCGCCATCTTGTTTTCCGTTAGTGTGCCGGCGGGGCGGGGAGGGGGTTATATAAATAAAATAAAGCGAAATAACCCCCTTTGCTTGAGGGGGAGCGGAGCAGGCTCTGCGGGGGAGGTCGCTTTGGTTCTTTCCTTCTTTGCTTGTTTTTGGCTATGGAGCATGTGTCCGGGGAGAAAGATTTTTTAATTATTTTCTTTTAGTTTAATAGAAATAGGTCAGGGGGCGGCGCTCGGTTGCTGGGCGACGGGCGGAGAGGTGATGGGGGACCAGCGCCGCCGCTTTCCATTTTTTATATTAAAAAAGTGAAAAAAAATAATGAAAATGCTGTTAAATAATTAAATAAAAAGCAGCTCCCGCTTCCGGAGCGGCGCGAACTGGCGGGCGTTGCGGTGACGCCATGGAGTCGTGTCACCTGGCTCGGGGAGGGCGGGGGGGGTTGTCTCCCCCCTCCCCGCCGCCACAGGTAAAGGGCGAGAGGGGGCGGCAGGGCTGAGTCAGCGGCGCGGCGGGGAAGCGGGTGAGGCAAAAACGGCCCCCGCGAAACCCTCCCGAAACGCCGCTCTGCTGGGGGGAGCCGCGGCATCGCCCCGGGGAGGCGGCTCGGCCGCCCGGTCGGGTCCTCCCCGGAGGAAGCGCCATGTACGTCCTCGTCCTCCTCCTCATCCTCCTCCCGCAGCCCAGTTTTCCCCTCCGCCTCGCACAGCCTTGCTCAATCTCCCGCCTCACTTGCGCTCCTCTCTCCTCTGACCCAGAACTTCTCCGCGAGGAGGGAAAATACGTGGGATTGTAGTGGAAAAAAAGCGGGACAAAATGGAGTTTGCGGCTGAGGGGAAGCCAAGCCAAAACGCCTCGTTTGAGAGGGAGCAGCGGCTTTTGGCCTCCTCCTTATCATGGCATCTTGTGTTGTTGCTTTCAGTAGGGTCCCCAGCTGATGGGACGGTGTCAGGCTCCGGGACGAGTAGCCATCCGAACGCCTGGACTGAGAACTGCTCTCCAAGCTGACCCGCTGGTGTCAACAGGTGCCCCCGTATCCCTGTGCAAATCCGCCTGTTTTAATACATAAAACAAGGGTGAGCCTTCCTTTTCCTCGTGTACATGTAAAGCCTGCTGAATACTCTGTTTTTCAAACATCTGTTACAAAATTCTGGTTTTTTGGAAATAAAAGAACACAGAGTTTGTGTGGGAATGCCTGGCTGTCTACGTAGTGGGAATGGAAACTGGAAGCTGACAGTGGCAGTGTGCCTGCTCAAATGCTGAAGGAAAAGTAAGCAATAAAAATATCCCAAGTAGCCTCTGAAAAGGTGGGTTTACATATGACATGCACAGAAAGCAGAAGTGGGTAAGTAAAGTCCGTGCAATCAGGTAAATGTGAGATATTCTGTTAAGCTGGAGCGCTACCTGTATTAAACTGAAGAAGACATATGTAATTCTGTCTCACTCTGCATTTTTTCTTTGCTATATACAACCTTAGGGTTATGTTTGTGGAGGATTTTTGTTTCTAAAATTTCTGGTGTAAAGACTAGCCTCATATCTGGTTGGTGTTTCCAATTGGTGATAGTGTGTGTGGAGCAGCAAGGCAGGTGCTGAACACCACCGTTAGCACCACCTAGAAATAAAAAACATGATTCAAGGGCCGCTTTGAAAGTTCAGTGTAAACTAAACCCTTTTTAAATGCCTTAATGTTGATGTCATCACACATTTTTAAAATAAGGGTAGGAGAAAGCAGTGAGACTTGCAAATACAGAAGTTGTTCAAGTATTTAAAAATGCCTATTGTGTGCATTTTATCAGAACAAATGTAAAGTAGGATTGCAAATAGCATATTTTATCCTTTGGGGGCCGTCTTAAATTCCTCATAGTAACACATAGTTGTTTTTGTGCTGAAGAAATTCCAGAAAATCAGAAGGTGACACTGTGTGTCATGATGCTCTCTTCAGAGTATGGTCCCACTCTCTCATTTTGCTTTCGGTCCTTCATATCCCGGAGGAAATAAAGGGTTTTAACCTGGATCAGTGTGTCTCCTGTCTAGGCACAGACTCACAAAAGCTTCTGCTGTTACCAAAGAGAATGAGAGGGTGGGACCCAGCTGAACATCTTATGGAATTACAATGTTACAGTAAAACATCAGGGACGCTTCCAAGTAATTGTGTGTGGAAGAGTAAGATCATCATTTGGTCACATGGGATTATTTTGAGAGCGTAGCTCTTTTCTCTAAATTTTCTTATAATTCTCTGCTCGGGCATGAAGGTTTTTGAAAAGTTTGTGTTTCCAAGTTTTTCCCAGCTACCTTCATGACAATCTGAAAGCATAAGAGTGGTTCAGTGGTTCGACCTATAATGTTTCATCAAAATGCTGCTGTGCATTATTTGCTCTTCAGCTCATCCAGTGTTTTTGTACTGTCCAAGGAGAATCCCCTTAAAATTTGGGTCAGTTTTGATGATTATTTTGCCATGGTACAAATAAAATATTATGTATTTAAACACTTAATTTTGGTATTGGTATCTTCCTTTTTAATTTTAGCTACTTATATATGTGTTTGTTTTGTTTTAATACAGTTATACCTAAACCATCTTTTTTAATGCTCCATCTGAACAACCAAAATGAGACTGAAGACTTCACTTTTAAAGGAACCAAAACATATCCTTTCTCTCAACATAATCCTTAGGACAGCATGTCACATCTCCATGGCCTTTTTATTAGAAAGGTTTTCTTTACGCCATAAATGTTACAGTAAAATATTTGCAAATTGCATGTGCTTCTTTTTTTTTTTAACCTTATTATTCAAGTGAATCTTTTAAAGGTAACATTTCTGGAGATGATGAACATTCCCATTGCAAGATCCAGTGTTCCCTGCTTTTATCAACCTAATTTGAAACCACTGGTGTCAGTACCCTGCAGAAGCTGTCAGCGTTTTGCTGGAAAGTTTTGGGGTTTTTCCTTTACTATTTGTAGTGATAAGTTAAATGCTTTCTCACATAGTAAACAGGAGTATTGATTTATCTAATTTATGCAGTAAGACACACACAGAGGCTATAAACAGAATTGTAATTTTTCTAAGTAAATTAGATATTAATCACAACCTCACATATAAACTCTTCACATAAGCCAGCATAAGCCAGTTTGAATGATGGTTGAGCAGTTTGCAGTTGCCTTGTGCACCAAAACCCCTTTACAGGTGCAACCCAATGTTTCAATAAATATGCCTTATAATAGGAATGCTATTTCTACATGGTATAGTTTCAGTCTAATTTTCTGCTTCATTCAGAATTTCTACCAGCTCTGCTCAACACAGAAGAGCGAAGAAAGTGTAAAGACTCATTTTTTTTCTATAGAAAATATTTTACATAAAATAATCTTCCTTAACCTTCTTAATAACCTTATAAAAATAATCTTGCCATACTATTCCTTCAGTTTTGTACAGCCTAGATATTTCATGTTTATTTTTAATAACTAAAGCTTTAAGATTTCCTTAATTTAATTATACATAAGGATTTAGTTAGCTGCGTGGGATGGACTACAGCTGATGAGTTATATTCCTGCAGTGATGATCACCAAATCATGAAGTGGAACCTGTTAACTAGTGAGACGGTTCAAGTGGTGAAACTCCCAGATGATATTTATCCCATAGATCTTCACTGGTTTCCCAGAAGTATTGGTGGAAAAAAGCAGTCCTATGCAGAGAGCTTTGTTCTTACAAGTTCTGATGGTAAGTCGATTAGAAGTGCTTATCAGTTCATACCACTTTATGATATGTCACTCAATACCTGAGAAATTATCTGCAATTAGATAATCTGCAGTAAAGCAAGTTCAGATACCTATAGACCAGTTGCACTCATGTAAAGTGAATAGCTGTTGTAAAATTCATACATAATTATTATAGTTTTCTGTAATACAACATTATCAAACATATTTCTGCCAGCAGAGAGATTTTTTGCATAGGATCAATTTCTAGCATTTGGTAGTTCTTATTTCAAATTTCTCTAGTTCATAAGCTGGTAGCTTTAAATATCTATGTAGATACCAAATCACTTTAAGTTACTGAAACTGAAGATGACCAAGCTGGTGAGATTGATATTAAACATCATGGTTAAGCAATTGATCCCATTTCCAGCTATCTGTGGCCAAAATGTGACCAGGGTATCTTATGTCTGCCTTCTGTGGAGCTCTGGAGCTCTTTGTGAAGGCTCTTGGTCTGGTCGTGAGGGATAGAAGGCTTGACTGCATGTCCAGAATATTGACTATTCATGTTCAGTATACAGCTGTTTGGTCCATTATACTAGCTGTTAGTATACCAATGCTAGCATATTCTAATATAGTAGTTCCTGTATTCCTGTTTGTGGATTCTGGTTTGTAGGAGAACGATTTCATGGATTGCTTTTTTTTTCTCCTCTAAGAGACTAGACATCAAATTTGTCCAACTTCCAGTTTCTTTCGTGTGTGAAGGCACATACACGCTTATCCTCAAATCAGTGAATAAATCTTAGCTAGCTAGTTTCACTGCAGTCAAACAATTATGTTTGTTATGAAGCACTCCATACAATTCAGATCATAGTTTGTCTCCTTTCTTTAGTACTGTAACTTAAAACAATGTTCAATGCCACCGGGAACTTCCTGTGTTGGATTTCTCCATCCTTTCCTTCCCTCATCGCTTTTCTTCTTTAATTAAGGGACTTGGATGCTTTTCTTCTTGATTGTTTGAACCAAATATGAAAAATAACTTTAAAAAAACTCTTCTCTGACCCTGTTTTTTATTTCTCTAAGCAAGAATTTACGAAGTTGCAAATCTATTTCAAATGAGTGTTTCTTCCTGCTCATATTAAGTTTGAAACCTGGAAGAGTTTGATCCACTCCAAAATCTGCTGTTTTACATGATCTCCTTTTATAAAATTGTGTTGAAATAAAAGTTCTATTAAGAAACAAGTCTTTGGTATAATTGAGGACTGCCTGCCTGGTAATTCACAGACTAAAGCCTGCTGAGGAGAATGGCATGGTAGTTCATGAGTGATTTCTGGTATTTCCAAGTGCTGCATCCAGGAACTTGGCATCCAAGTGCCTTGGAAGAGATCTGTGACTTGTGTGATGAAGTTGCACAGTCTTTACACACATCCTAACTTTTTATACCTGTCTTTTTCAATTGAAAATGCTGTGTAAGGTTTCAGGGCAAGTCGATTAAGCTAGGTTGCTGAGAGGTGACAAGTATGCGCCACGACAAAGTGGGTAACATATAAACGCTTTAAACTTGGCTGATGGTCTTTTGTCAGAGACAAAGATATTGGTGGCAAAGCTGTATTTCCACACAGGTGGTGGTGGGACTTCCTCAGCACTGAACTGCAAGCAAGATGCTGCTGTAAATCTCTGCTGGGATATTTTTTTCAGGCAGAACAGCAAGAATCACAAGCAATTGTGGAAGAGAGTTTCCATCAGGAGAATAGTGGCCATCTGCCCATGAATTACTGATGGTCTTCATGGGGACTTACTGGTGTTTTTAATGGGACTGATGAACGTTTCCCAGCTAACTTCTGCCCATGCTTTGGCCAGAACCCTGAATTTGTAGCTCTCATATGTTTTCTTTGGTGAGGGGAACTTACTGAAGACTTTTGGCTAGCTTCACTGTGAGCTTGATTGGGAACAGAAGGTTTGTTACCTGGCGTTAGCAGACTAGAGCTGATGCATCCAGCATGGTTTTCTGTGTAAAGGGAGAGATATAATATGTATTTGAATAAGGTAGGAAAAATTCTTTCCTTGAATGAAACTTTGTCTTTTTCACTAACTACTGGCAACAGTTGCACTTAAAAATTAGAAAGGCTACAGAGGCCAAGATTTCTTCAGGGTATTCCGTACTTCCCAAGGAATAAATGCACTGAACTCATGGAACAAAAGCAGGACATCTTTTGGCCAGTGTTAGAAGACTGGCTCTCTATAACTTCCTAGATACACATGGCGAGGGAAGATGAGGAGAGAAGTTTGACCAAGTGGGATCATAACTTCTGCAATACCTCATGCTGAATTTTGCTGTGGATTTTAGGCAGCTGAGGCTAATGATACACTACCCATAGAGCTCTTACAGTGAAAACCTGAAAGGAAGATTCATTCATGTCAGTTAATAATAGTACATACATATAGTTCCATACTAATTATTTGTGTAACCTAAACAAAGTCTTTCTCCCAAAAGTCAATAAGTGATGTTAACGGGGCAGAGGTCTGTCCTTGAGCGTGGGTTTTTTCCTTTTCTTTCCAGAGTGATAGGCATGGGATGCAGGGATTTCTGTAATTGAATATGTGCTCTAAACCCTTTTTTCCACTCTTCTTTTTCTTTCTCAAAGTTTTTGTAAATATCTGAATTACATGTAGTAACATGGCATGGCAACTGTACTCAATCAGGTCTTCTATTAATTTATTCTGTCGGCTTTCCTTTTTTAATAATATTACTAATATATTCTGCTTGAATAATATTTTGACAGTTGAATTCTGACAGTTGAAGAAATGTATATGGGCTACTACTACCTTAATGAAAAAGATGACTTAAAACTGTACTGTATTTTTCTCCCTCATTATCTGTTCTTTTTATATCACTAAGATACGTAAAGAAAATGGATCATGTTCATAGATGTGTAGAGAGAGGCTGAACATCTTTTTTGGTTGGTTTTTGTTTTTTTTCTAGAGTGCTCAAATAAGAACGTTGTAGAAGCTGTGTGCTCTGAAATACTTTTATTCCATCTGCGTGTGAAACCTGGTGCAAATGTAGATTAGAATTTGATTCTGAAGTATAATGTCTAGTAGATACAAATGTTTGCTCTTCTAAAAGTGGATTAAGGGAAAACTGAAAAATAGAGCAATAACTTGGGAATAAGGGTTCCTGAATAGCGCCATGTAGAAACAGATCCCAGAAGCTTGTTTGGGATTCGTTAGGACCTGTGCAAGAGTATTCATTAACCGATAAATGTTAGATTTGTCTAAGTGATCTGATTCAAGGGCAGAGGCTGAAAGGCAGGGGTTCTGGCTTTTTCACTCTGCTGCAGATTCTAGTAGTGTGCAACCAGCAGATTCTAAAATGAGGTTTAATGTCAACCTGTATTTTTCTTGGGAAGAGCTTTGTTTTCATGTGCTTCTAATTTCTCATTTGCTAGGACTTTTTTAAAGAAGCCTGTGTTGTTTAATCTAAATTTGTCATCGCAGGAGTCTAGCTAATGATTTCCACTACAAGAAGTAGTATGAGCAAGGTCAGCAGAAATACTGTCTTTTCCATTTGATTTTTTAATGAATAAAAATATATTAAAAATATAAACGATCATGTAGTTATGTTCACACAGAGAAGAGTTGTTGTATTTGCCCTAAGTGGAGGAAAAGATTCAGCAGAAGTCCCTTCTTGGTTAGGTTTGCTGTAATCCATGCAATGAGTTTTTTTTCTTTTTTTGCCACAATTAATTCACAGCAATGAGATTTTCACTTTTTGTCTTGCTCCAGTTAGTACTTTATCTCCTGTCTTGTAGTGTAGTTCAGAGTAGTAACTGTCACTACTGTCAAGGGATCAGCTCATAGCATTGGTGACTTCAGTCTAAACATTTATTTTATGAAAAGCTGCTCATGAGATGTATTTACCAACAAATGATAATTGGTTGCTGTTGTTATTGTGAAATTGAAGTAAAAAGAAGTACTAATCTAATTTATGAAAGAATAAATTAAGATAAAATTTAATAGCGAAATTTCAGAGATTTTTGTCTCCTAGTGTCCTAGTGCAAGATAGTGTTATTGATAGAGGGGTCTTATATTGCAGAGATTTTTTTTTTTTTGATGCACGTGTAAGTGACTTACTGCATTGTGAGTATACACTCACAAACAAATTTTCTTTCTTTATTACTATTTTTAAAACACTTTCAAGTTAAAATTTTGCTTAATTGTTGCTTATATAATAGGCCAAGCCTGCAATTTTCCTGCAACAGCCAATTCATCTCTGTGATAAGGATTCCTGGAAATTTGCTGAATCCAATGGAAATTGAGTATAATGTCTTTCCAGGGTTGCATTAATTCCTGGTTGAACTCCAGATGTTTGTGAAATTAGAGCAAATGTAAATTTAATCCTCTTGGGTTTTCTTCTGAGTTGCATCTCTCTTGTGGGATATGTTCTTTTACTTCATCCTGATGTTGCTGCTGCCTTTTTTTACAAAAGTAAATAAAATGTTCAGTTTTGAAGTGCTTAATAAGCACAAACTTATAAGTGAATAAACCTCTTTTTTTTCAACTTTCTATGTTATTGCTAGTTTTACATTAGGTCAGCATTTAAGAGTCTATGAAAGCTAATGAGCAAAACATACATGTTTTATGTTCTGTATTTGAATAGGCTGCTAATCTCCCACTTGAAATTCTTCCAGTACTGGAGAGTCACTTTAAGCTTGAGAACAGCTTCTGGTTTCAGGACTTAATAAAAAGAAAGGACCAGTATTTTGCAGGTCTGAGGTTTAAAGTAAGGTTACAGTTGCTTTACTTCTGGCTTTTCCAAATGTATAGGTAACATTTTCCCTTAAGTATATATGAGAATGCAATAAGTTATAATTTTAGAGGCTCTGCAAGCCGAGGTTTAAGTTGAAGAACAGAAGAAGACAGAGTGATTCACTGAAACTTTGGTTTTGGAGCAAGTTGTCTGTGTGTGTGTGTCCTGTGAAAACACACAATCTAATGAGTCGTGTCATTTGACTGTTATTGCTGTGTTGGAAATGTAAAGGAATTACAGAAATAAAGATGGTATCCATGAAAACTTGATTTGGCCCTATTAGGCATTAAGTATAACGAGAAAGTATTTAAATGCATGAACCCGTTTTTCTGGATGTCTTATGTCTTAGTGCCTGAGAGGAACTTGCTCTTATATGAAAAAATATTCTTCCTGGCTAGGCTGGAGTTTACTGTGCTTCAGTATTTGGAAGCTGCCTCGTGAATAAAGTAGAAGTTTGTAGAATGGGAAAGGATGCAGACTGGAGCTTCTAGAATGGGAAAGGATGCAAAAGATTGTTAAATGTGTTGAATGTTTCCTAGTATAGCAAGATTTTATCCTGTACTCCCGCTGTGATCCTGGTAATGTGACTTAAACTTTCATTTTAACTTATTTTTCCTTTTGTGTGTCAGATTGAGAGGTTTGTTTACATTAAGGTTGAGGTCTCCTGATTCCACCTGGGGCAGTGAAAACAAGGGTTTAAATATATTTAAAATGCCATGGAATATTATGTATTCTTAGAAAATAGTTCTGTGATTAAAAAGACTTTGAGAAGTCTGCAGTGGGAAAAGGTCTTGGCTAAAGAATGAACAAGCTTCTTTTAAACCAAGCATTGAATAAGACAGATCATCAGATAAAATAAAAATATATGTTTTTAAAATATTAATTTAAAGCCATAGCAGGCCATTTTGACATTCTTGTCCAGGAAGATAGCATCAGCTGAAGAATTCCTATGAATTCAGTTGTTGGTTTTACCTTGAGAATAATGTTAGAAAAAAAAATCTTGTTTTGATTTTTGAACATCCAACAAAACTAATTTTTAATGGGCAATTGTTGATTTCTTGTACTATGAAAAAATTTATTGCTTATTCAAAGAATATTTCAAATTTCTGTGACTACAAAAGAACAAAACAAAACCCTGAGATGGCAATAGGCATGCATCAACTACCCTGTACATTGTATATTATATAACAGATATGTAACTTAGTTTGTGGTCTGGTTAGATTTTTATCTCTGGATTTTTCTCCTTACCTGTTTAGACTCTGCATCTGTAGTATTTAATGTGAATGACATACAGTTATTCTAAAACTTGTTTACTGTTATTATTAGGGTCATTATGAATGAGTGTGGGATTGAAACGAAGTAATGACTTTTATGAAGATCTCACAGTGTGTATCTGGTGTGTCTTTGACAATTTTGTTGTGTGCAAACAATTTGGTTTTATCCAGTAACGTGAGAATACTCCACACATCATGTTAATGATAAATGTTTCTGTAAAACTTAATTCCACGACTCTCTAATTAAGGGTGACATTTGGAATAAGGCCATATTGTATCATCTAACAACATGGCCCTTAGTTAAAAATGATTATACAGAAATCAGTTACAGCTGTGTAAACTGCCTATCAAAAATGCAAACAGTTTTCCAGTTAAGAAATCAGACTAGGCACCCATCTACTATGGACAGAGTTGCAAACCATTAAGTTCTTACACTTTCTTAGTTCTTACACATGGCAAAAATATCTTTTAGTTCTTCAGAAGACAGAAAATAAAGGCCACTTTCAAAATCAGACTATAGTAACAGTGATATTCCTCTCTTATTCAGCAAAGCGGGGCCCTGCTATATCCAAAACAGAAGCTAATAGGAGGGAAGTACTTGAGGATTCAATAAGGCTAGGTCAGACAATGTATGTGCAAGATACGTTGAGATCAAAATAACAAAGACAAGTGTCTTAGAGCTGAGAGAGAATCTATAGAAGACTGGAAAGTAGAATAATGTATGAAAATTTTAAAATTCAGAAGACCCAATACTGAAAACTTCAAAAATCTTAAGAATTGACTAAATGATAACCAGTCTACCAGATTTTGTTGTTGTTGTTGTGTTTTATTTTTATTTTCTTTGAAATATGCCAAATTTAACCTGGGAAGAAGACAAAACATAATAGAAATTGTTTCATGCTTCTTAACCCTTAACCGTTACCATCTTGGCTACTGTGATGTTGATGTGCATGTAGTTTGAAGGTGTACTGCATTTTACCTTCTGTGTAGGTCATAATTAACTCCTTTGTCACCTGCACATGCATCCTTCTTTAGGTAATATGTTTCTTTACTTAAATAAAAGTATTTTTAGTTTCTGCTTCTCTCTCAAGCTTCCTGGATACAGTATTTTTATGTAGTTCACGTGCCACTAGGTCCAGCTGAGGTATCTCAGTGTCTCTCTATGCTGCCTAATTCCTCCTGATAGGAGGTAAAGAGAAGGTGGCTTAGCCTGTGAAAATCAGTCTCCTTCATGCTTGTTTGCAAGGCCTATGATTTTAAAAAAATAATCCTCTCATAAGGACTGCAAACACTTATGAGTTCCTTTCGTAAGTGAAAATATGCTTTTCCTTCGCTCCAGTATGCTGCTGCTTGGGATACTGCTATTTAACCCAGTATGCCCAGTCTCAGTCATATCCTCAAGCAAGAGAGTCGTATGCAGTGTGTTCTCAATAAAAAAAAAAAATGTCCCATCCGAAGTGATGGGAGCATTTGCACACACAGTGTGAGGTACTGCTTATTTCCAAGGATTCTGGTCGCTCTGAAAATTACTTACATTAGCTCACTGCCTCGCAGATTAGATCACATATATATTTTTAAGAGTTTTAAATTTAAAAGTAGTTAATTTGAATCACCAAGCTATTCCAAGCCATGCAGTTGTTCTGCTGCATGTTTCCTTTGTCTGCTTTTTGGTCTGGTTAAAATTTGATCTTCCTGAGTTTAAGCAACATCCCTCATTTGGAAAGAAAGACTTCCTCCTGCTTCTGTTGAACTCATTAATAGCTTTGTTTTTGGCCTCTATGAATTTCCACAACAGCCCCATCATGCAAACTGTAACACTTCCTCGGAGCAAGGCGCTCGGTGGTGCTCAGATTGTGCTAGCTTTTGTGTTACCCTTTTGGTGGGGAGTGATTTTTCAGAACTTAAGAAAGAAAACACGAGGACTCTTCTGAAGTGAGGTACAGTGCATAAAACCTCATGTGTGTTACCTTCCAGACAGTGGAGTAACGCTGAGGAGTTGTGTCCCCAGGAAAAGGTGTGAACACTTAGAGGAATAGAAGTAAAATGTATGGGCAAAATAAAGATTATATGTGCCAAAAGGAAAAATAAATCCAGCATGGCAGTTGAATTACAAGTATTGTCCTTCTGCAAGAGATAGATTGTTTGGGCTTGCCATAGTTGTGAATAATATAATACTCTCTTTCTCACCTGAACTTTTGTTTAGGGAAGTTCCACCTGATTTCAAGATCAGGAAGACTAGAGAAGAGCGTAGAGGCGCACTGCGGGGCCGTGCTAGCAGGACGATGGAATTACGAAGGAACAGCACTGGTTACAGGTAAGCATACTCCAACCTAGTGCTTTGAAAATGAAAATAGCAGAGCAGCTCTTTCAAAATACAACCTTTTGGCTTTTTAAACATTTTTTTTAATACAGAAAGTTGACTTGACGTACACTATGCACTGAAAGAATGGAAGGGTACACAAGCGGAGTGTTAAGCACAATTTATGAAACATAACTAACTTCAGTAATATTTATGAAGTACTTTGGGGGATAAATGCCATAGAATGTTTTGGAGAAAATCATCTTAAAAGTAAATCCTTGACATATATTTAAAAGGTGTAGACCCAGACTTCATATCTTGTAACTATATTGATTTTGAAGGGGTAAAACAGCGTGTTAAGTGTTCTTGCACTGCCCGAGCTTTAAATTTTCATGCAAGAAAGGAGGAATGAAAACACAAAATCCCCAATATAAATAGTTGATTATAATTTGTAACTCCATTTTTTAATATTCCTGTTGGAAATGCATGTATAATCATCTTATCTAAAAGAAGTTAATTTTATGATATTTGATCAAAGCTGTTTAAGAAGAATATTCTCTGATTTTTAATTATTATTTTAATCTGTATTAAAGCTAGTAAAAATATTTATCTTTTTTTTAGTAATCCTATTTCTTAAAAGTTACCCTATTTACTGAAAAAATAAATATTTTTAATATCAAAATGTTTCTGTAGGTACTTGTATTCCTTAAAGGACAATATTTAAGGGAATTCTTTTTTCCCCCCTCATCTGTTACAAAAATGATTGCTAGGTCTGTACTTCAATATCCCCACACATGACACTGGAGTTTTTTGGCCACCAGAGTTTGCTGAGGCCTCAGGAGCACGTTGGATGTGCCAGTGCTTCTTGATTATTTGGCTGGTGCAAATCCAGCTGCTAACTAATCCTGTTCTCCGACAGGGCTGGGAAGGGGATCTTCCCGCGTCTGTATCGCTACGTGTCTTTTTGTCCTAAATCTTCTGGTAATTAGTTGCTTTTGGCATTTCTGTCAGAAATGTCTATCTCGATGTTAAAGAGAAGCTAATTGCATTTCCTGGGATAGACTTCTCCTGAGTGGAATTTCTGGTGGTGTCAGGATTTTATGCAGCCTCCTGTTGATCTAGCACAGCTGATTTCTTTGGACAAATTCCAACTTAGTCCAGAAGTACTGAAGATAATTTTGGATCTGCTTGTCTCCAGACTCGGTCTGACTCTAAAATGCTGTTTGAAGGAACTGGCATGTTCCTCTTAAATCCCAGAGGGTTCTTTTTAAAGAGAGATTTGCTTCAGGAACTTCTCCAAAGAAGAAAATCAAAATTGCTTTTTCAATCTTCTTTTGGAAAGACTCCATGATCCTTATGGGGAAATATGTGAATTCATCACCATATCCAAACCGTGTGCTCTGAGAAGATCTACTACTCTTACACTGCAACTGTGCTTGGAGGAATAAGGAATCATTGAGGGTATCGGTTAAAATACTCTTTGAAGTTCTATCTTAGCAGTATCAAGATGTGTGTGCTCAAATAGGATCTTTTAAATTGTTTTGGTTATGCTTTTTCAATTTTTAAAGCTTAATTTGCAATACATAAAAATTGAAATCTGGTAAGTAAATTACCTCCAAAAAGGGAAATGATATTAAGAGTACTGGTGAACCTTTTTACCAATTAGCTGAATTTAGGAGCTTTAAATACTCTTTATATATGATGGCATATTAAGAGATCCGTATTACTTATGTACATGTAGCTAACTTTTCTGTATAGTGTATAACAACTTAATCTTTAATAAATTAACCAAGTTTCTTGGTAACATGAAATTACATTATAAAATATTAGCTTTCTGAATGGAGCCTTCAGTTCACTTCGTTTTCACAATTTATCAACTGTGAAATGTCCAGTTTAATACATGTTCTCTTTGGACACCCAAGAGACTCATTTCATCAGTTTCTGGGCCATTGAATTGTAAGTAGATGAAGTGAACTAGTAATGCTGGGTAGAAAATAGAAAGCTTGGGGTGCCTAAATAGTGTTGGATCTCTCTTCAGGAGCAGCTTCAGACAAGAAGACTATTGGGAGTTTCAGGAGAGGTAAAGGCTTGTTGATAACAGTCTTAAATATTTTTTCCTTAAAATATTATCTTTTTCCTTGTTAGGAAGCATACCTAAACAGTGTTTAGCAGTAGAATGACCTGGTGTTTTAAATAAAAATATTTTAACTTTAAATATTTCCTAAAAAAATACCCTTCATTTACAGTTGCTATAATTAGTAGATCTTTTATGGCTTATAAATTGATGATTTCTATAACTTTCTATTTACAGTTGGTGAAGATGGTCAAGTGAAAATTTGGTCTAAAAGTGGAATGCTGAGATCCACTTTAGCTCAGCAAGGTAAGCTAATTTTTTTAAATTTCAGTTAGAACAATTTTTATTTTTGGTATATAAAAATATATTGAAATAATAGACCCTAAATGTAGCAGTAATGGTTTACTTAAGGATTTAAGCGAGCCTAGATCAGCTCGCTCAAATTAAAGATAAAACCATAGTGGAATTCAGTAGAAACCCGAGCTTTGTCTTTATGTTGGCAGGTAGAAGTTTGTCGGCTTTGTTACCTGAACTGCTGGGTTCTCATTAAATTGTCAAAACCACACTGAAAATGCCTCTTTTTAAATAAGAGTGTTTGGCCAGGAAAAAAAAAAAAGTATTATTAGATTGTAAAATCAGTAGAAGAATAAAACAAAATGCCTTCTAGTACATTTATTGCTTCCACTGTGTTTCTGTGGGCCTACGGAAGGTCATTATACACTCTCAGAAGTTATATTCCATTCTTATCTAATATTGGCTATTATTATTGCTGATTTAATCACTCTTACCATTAGAGAAAAATTATAGTTGTTATATTTAAAATATAATATTTATCATGTAACACTATGTCTTACTACAATAACACTTATTTCCTCTACCCACCTTTAAAGGAGTTAGTCAGTGTTTTCAAAGGAGGAGCTTCTCAGCTAAAAAACAGCTGATAGTATCTGTTTAGCCTGCTTCTAAATCACCACATCTATTAAGAATTTTTCATCAGATGATTTTTTTTTTCAGGATAAAGCACAATCATCTCCTCCTCATGCTGATGTGTTAACTACAACTCATACACGTTTTTCCGGGGCTATTTGCATTTTGTTCTGGCTTGGGCTAGATCAATTGGCAACGTATAAGGAAATTGATAAAATACTTATTTTTATTACTGTAATAAGTAACAATTGTAAGCACCAATTGAAGTAACAGTTGAAGTAGCAGTTGTTAAGAACACAAAATAAATTTTGCTACAGCTTCCAGTTTTCCTATTAGAGGTTTTGAAACATTTACTTTTTGGCTGAAGTGGTTATAATTGATCCCTCCTCTAAGAGAGTTTTTGGTGTTGTAAGTATATTGGAAAACTGTTTAGTTTAATTTTTTAACAAGATAAATATTATCAAGAAAAGCACATTTTCTAACATAAAAGGTATTCTTGCAATATTTTTAGGCAGTTCAACCATAAAGCTTCTGGAGACAGTAAAGAATCAGAGAATTGAAAATAAATTGTTTTTTTAATACCATGCCACTGATTCTTATGGTGAAACTGGAAAAAAAAATAGAAGTGTTGCCTGAATGCGTGGAAGATGAGAAAAAGTGTTTATAGGTTAGCTTCTCTGTACCTTAAAGCTCTTAACAACCCAGGTTCAAAAATCTACTTAACCCAGTTTAATTTAATATATGCAGAGAGTCCTATTGAAGTGAGACCTAACCTCACTCTTAGCTTTGTAACTACGGTTTTATGCATACCAGAACATTCCAGTTATTGTTATTAAGTCAATTTAAAATCACATTGTTTTAAAGAGTAGCGCTGCAGGCTACAAATACATTTTATACACATTTAATTTTTAAAATGTCCAATTTTTTATAATCATGATTTCTAAAATTTATATACGATTTCAGTGAAAATATCAAGCTAGATTTGTTTTTCAGGCTTGATACATTAAAATCATGTGACCTTTTGACGTTTTTTAGAAACCACATGCACCTGGGGTTGGGTTAAATGTCAGACCCTTATCTCTTTCTAAAACAAATTATCTAAATTCTTTCAGCCTGTTGAAGGCATTTTAACCACAGGAGTAAAGGTAAAATGTATTTCAGTTCTGTTAAGGAAGTTCATATTCAGATGCAATGTGTTTTTCAAGCTTACAATGTAAAAACAATAAGCCAACCAAGCTATATATTTTTTTTTACAAAAGAATTGAACAACACAACACACTCTACAGTGTTTCTCAATTCATGTGTTTTAAGTTTCTTATGTTTAACTGTGCTTATTGTGAGGCCTCCTACTTAGTCTGATGAAGCTTATAAGGCAAGAGCCTCTTTCCAGTGTGCTGGAATTGTGCTCTTTCCAGTGTCTACAATCTGAATCTCCATTGATTTTTCAGAACTTCTTGTATAGTGTGAGGGAAGAATTGTGTCCCCATGGAATAACTGCATTTGTGCATTAAGATAAGATCCTATGAGACTTAAAAGCCCTTAAACTTTTAATTTGTAGGATCAGATTCCTACAGAATATTCTGTAAGTTGCTGACATACCTGGCATCAGGATAGGATTCTGCAGATTTTTTTGTTGTTGTTTAAAAGCAGCATGTTATGTTAGAGCTAATTTTGCACTTTCATTATCATCTCCTTAGGAAATTAAAGGATTACCATTGCTAACATTCTTTTTACTCATTCCTCTTTTTGTATTAGAAACAAATTTTCAGACCCTTATCTTTGAATAACGGTCCACATGCCTATTCTATCTTTGGATTTTTCTTCACTACGAAAACATGGATATAGATTTCTTTCCTTTTTTAGCCTTTTCAGTACTTCTATAGAGTGTTCTGGCCCCATGTCCTTCCAGCATGCTGATGCATGGAATAAAGTTAGTTAGCCCCAGTAGCCTCCATTTCATTCAGCCCCTAGCAGTACCGTATTGCTGGTAAGGTTGCTTTCTTCTTTGAGCCTGATCTTGCTTTTTCATCCTTAAATTTTATTCTTGCCTTTGTTTCTCCTTAACAGAAAGCTTTTTAAAAATTGCTATATTTGCAATCCTTTGGGCTTCCAGGTGATGCTGTGCACTGATATATGTGAATGAGTGAATGAGGTAATATTTTATCACAGCTTCCTTTGTTCTATCTTGGTGTAACCCACGTGACTGTGCCTAAAACAGGAGTGTATCAGGGTATTCTGTGGTACATACATTGCAGCATGACTGTGCTCAAGGTGTCCCTCCTCCTCTGCACCAAGCCACCAAGCTATGAAGGGTAGGATGTGCAAAGGGTCAAAGAAAGAACAGCTTTAACAGCACAAATTCTTAGGCTATCATGTAGAACTTGATTATTTGGAGTGAAGCCCTCTAACCCTCCCCATCCCCTGCTCGATCAAAGGTATTAGTCATGGCAACACAAAGAAGAAAATTGAGAAAGACACACTTGCATTCTACTTCTTATTGCTATCAAGATTATTCCTGCAGCACCATTTCTTTAGCTCATCCATCAATGGATGTGATACCTTTGTTGATAACTTTACCCTCTCTCCAAGATCTGAGAACCTTAGTGGACGTAAAAGTCTCCTGGATCCACCGGAAGCATTTAATTGCAGCCAGGCTTCTGCTGGAGCCGCTGCCTCCTTAACGTGAGTCACAGCACACACTGCTCCTCTAACGGGATAACGTGAAGGCTGCAGTCAGGTGGTGCTTCAGTTCCCCATCTTCAAGCTGCAAGTTTGACTGCTCCCTCAGGATATGTAGTTTCTATTGTAGGTTAGAGCATTCCTAATTTTTCTTCACCCTGTAAACTATTTTAATGTTCCTAATTCCATGAAATATCCAGAAAGTCCTGTCTTAAATTCAGAGGTTAACCTTCACTTTTTGTACTATGAGAAGTTAGTTTCTTCAGGAGCATTGGTGAAGGACTGGACCACAACCTTTATGAAAATGCACATGCATTGTACAGGCTGGTTCAGTCCTGCTTTCTGATTCTTGGTGTAGCCTCGACTTTCCGCTAGAAAAGTGAGTGATCCAAATTATCGTTTAAATATCATTATCCACAGACTTACTGTTTCTATCTTACATATTTTACCAATTTACCTTGAGTGGATTCTTGGTTCTTCAGATGACCTCTGTCACTTTTCTTTCAGGCCGACATTGTAATTGTAAACTTGTACTCTTTAATTTGTGCTTTGAGCGTTATCTTTTGATCGTGATGACATTTTTTGAGGGGCTTCCAGTGACCAGTAATCCACTTGTCACACCTTTGAATTCCAATGGAGCCCCAAAGCAGCCCACCTGTGATGCCAGGCAGTATGAAATGAATTGAAATGTGTTTTATCTAATGCATCTTCGCAAGGCGTAATAAAGACTTTATTTTTATATCATTGTGCTCTCTGTATTCTTTCAGCACTAAAAACTACTGCTTACTACTTTTAGACATGTTAGGGCAGAGCTAGCACAGGTAGAATACTTTGATTGATTCTGTTCGTCCTTGTATGTCAGGAGAAGAGCTGCCTTCTGCTCTTGTCTGTGTGTAAGTGTGTCAAAGCAGTACTGCTGTGTAAAGCTTGATAATGTAAGACTTTTAGCTTGTAGTGTTTTATTATTGGTGTTAAGAAAGCGGAGGAGAAAACCCTTCAACTTTGGTAAGAGATTCCAGGTTAATTTTACAGTGTGAGAGGGTAAAACACTTTTTCCCCTCATAATTTTGCGCGTTTGAGATGAGAATAGCTTCAACAATATTGCACATGAAAGCCCATTTCATTTATAGTCATTATTTTATTAAGTTATCAGATTTATAAATTGTAGGTAGCAGAGTACTTATATCCTGACTGTATTTTGCTTAACAATAAATACATATAAATGTGTAAATACATCTGGTTTATATGATAAAAAATGCATGAATGAATAATGTGAATAATTGCAATGTGTGTTGCCTTTTTTGTTACTGAAAGCAAAATCACAACAGTTGCAATGTCTGTACTAAACACTTTAATTATTGTGAAGAGGGACTTCAAGATACAACTCCTGTTTTTGTGCTGAGAGGCATAAAATTCTCTGAATTAATGTTTTTGTTACTGTGGAAACTCTCTCACAGACGTACTGTTATAATTAGCAAAGAACCTGCTATGGTTGAAAGTGCCAGTGCCTGCTCACTCACCTGCCCCCAGCCCCAGCTCCTTCTGTGACACAGATTGGATTGATTTGTTGAGATTAACATCTGCGAGCAGAGCACCGAGATGAGCGGAGAGCTACAAGGTGCACCTCTTCACATGTTCCTTCTTCAGATCTTCCCCCAGCCCACCTTTCCTGCTTTTGCTGCAAAGTATTTTTTTTTCCAAAAAAAATGCTTATCATCAATGCAATTCAGTTTTTCTGCAGGTTTTTCTATTTCTTTCCACAGCAATGCAATATATTGGCTGTCCGTTCCCAACCAAGTTCTTGCCAAGTGCAGAAGGAAATGAGTTAACTTAGCTCCTGCTGTTAAGCCCTGGAAATTGTGGTTAAGTAGTTAGCCATCATAAAAAATTTAAACATTTGGTTTAAATATAAAAATCTTCTGACTGTTAAATCAGCCTTAGAACAGGACAAAAATTAGTTTATTTTGAATTTCTTTGCAGCTGGTGTCAGAATTTATGTCATTTTCAACACAAATTGCTGCCAGCGGGAAAATAGTGCCAGATTTACTTAATATATGTTGTATGTTTCTATGAATTGTCTCCTACTGACTTACCATGGTTGAAAAGTAACAACCCCCCACCAAAAAGATGCATGATAATTACATCATTCTGTAGTTATAAACAACATAAAACAAATGCCTTCCCAAAACAAAATACACAAATAATAAAAATATTCAGGAGCAACAGCACCAGATCTCTGTTTAGAGCTTAAATGTTTCAAAGCTTAGATAAAATTTATTGTGCTGAATTGATAGCTGATAGAAAATTGATATAATAAAGTCAAGTTTTTGTTCAGAGAGAAAGTTTCAATTCTTTGAAGAACTGGTAAGATATTAGATGACGTTAGGTCACTTGATAGGTCCGTTCAATCAGGTAACTGTCTAAATCTCCTTAAAAGACTCTTGTCAAAGGAGAATCCCTGAGTCATTTTTAGTAATGGAAAAATGTTTTCAAAGTGTCTTTGAAAACTTCACCTGGGACAATTTTCTGAAGACTGTTTATGGTTCATTTTACTATAGATGATAGAGGTGCTAAGCATGGTTTATTTCCTCACTTTTAAATCATTGTTCAAATTCATAGCTATAAACTAAAATATGCTTGAATCTCTCAAAAAGTCATATTTCTGAGACTGAAGTAGATTTTTTTTTCTATTTTCCTCTTCTAAAATGCTTGAGCTGTCAAGTAAGACTGTTTATTTAGACTGTAATAAGCGATCTTTGAGACTCCTTTTTTCTCTCGTAGAACTTCTGGGGTGCGGTTCTACCTGCCTTGATTTTAGATGTGCCTTTGAGTTTCCTTAGCTTATTCTGCCTAATCTCCAAATCTATTCAAGAAAGAGATTTTCTTTGGGTCCTGTGTCATGTCTATAAGTGCCATATGGCTGTGTTAGGGTACACCAGGCACAACACATCCCTCTAGATCATCAGGTTTCTTGCAGGAAGTTTCTTTCTCCTTCAAGGGTATCATTTCTGCCAGTGACACTAGAGAGTCCTGAAATAAGCATTCTTTTTCCCATTTCTCAGAAGGGTATCATTTCTGCCAGTGACACTATAGAGTCCTGAAATAAGCATTCTTTTTTCCATTTCTCAGGGTACGGCAGCAAGTTCTACCAAAACTGAGAAGAATGATCTGACAGGGGCTTATTACCCAGTCCACCTCCTCACAGTTTTATATTCACTGTTTCCTGTTGTCTTGTAATATTGAGGCTATGCTGAAAGTTCCTATCCGTTGCTGCAGGGCTAGTGCTGTGACAGAAATAAATGTTTGGACATGCTTTTTATTTAATTTTCTTAGTTTTATTTGCATGGAATCAAGCAGAGTAATACTTTGATTGTTTGTCTTCTGAGGAGAGCAGTTCTGTCGAGTACTAAGGAAAATACTTGCATACTTGGCAAATCTGATTTTTTTTTTCAGGATGTTTTTTTCCAAGCAATTTTTTTCACTTCTCTTTTCAAAAAAATCTTTAAAAACTGCAACCTTATATATTTTCAAAACAAAACACTCAGTTTTATTTTGCTACGTCGTTCTAGAGATTTTACTCTGCAAAAAAATCTTTCCACTTAATTGGGAAAAATCTGTGAAGTTTTCAGGCTGCTCCTTCTAGCTTGATGGGCTGTTAATTCATTTTTAAGTAGCTCGTATATGGGATGTTTATTCTTTATTTGTATAGCAGAACAAAAAATGCTTTATAATACTGTCTTAATTATGAAGCTTGAACAGCTTCCAAAAAATAATTCAGTTGCAACACAAAGTATCTTTATACCTGCAGGGCTACTGGTTTTTAGCGTGATTGTTTTCATGTTGTTTTTTTTTTCCTCTTTTAAGTGGCAACTGTAAGTACAATTGCATCAGAGAATACAATGCTAGGCGATGGTTTGGGGGACCAATTACCTGATTCTCTAGTTTTGTTTTTGATACAAATATTTCTTGGCTTTAAATTAGATATTGATCAGTGGCAGTGGTCTTGGCACTTGATGCAATTGTATGGTAGGTGTCCAGGCAAACAAGTTCCAGGAGACGTTTCAAAACATGAAATGTTTTCTAAGCACTTCTAGGGAGTGTTTGTAAATCTGATGGAAACCGGGAAAGCTCTGAAGATCTGACACATGGAGATTGAAGGCTTGACCTTGGGACTGAATGGAAAGAGTTAACATTTTAGTGCTTAATAAAACACGTCATAATGATGATAGACCTTATTAGTAAATTAGCCATAAAGGGTTTTGTCTGATGCAATAGAGAAGCTTGAATAAGTGGAGAAGGGCAACAAAAATCTTTGTGATGTCCTGGTCTGCCATGAGCCCAGGGGGAAAATACCTCAAGGTAGGGGAGGAGCACCTGAAAGCTGAACAACTTTCTAAAGCTGAGAAGGAAGATCTTGTCTTACTGTGCTCAAATGCAAAGTCTTGCAAGAAATTGGTCTTTTTGTTTGTTTGTTTGAGAGGAGAACCACGACATGAGAAGAAGAAGAAATGGAAAAGGAAATCTTATAAAATAAGAAATCTGGTGATATGAGTTCTTCTAGATATGGTTTTACAGGGAACCTGAACTGAAGGAGCAAGTGGTAAATGTAGTTGGAGCAAGCGGGATAAAATAAGTCTTAAAAGTAGGTCTCAAATGAAAGTGAAATCATACATGTTTTCAATAACCCAAATGCAGTATTAGACAACTTGTTCCTTCGTCTTTTCTGTGTGTTTGTGTGATGTCTGGAGTTGATTTAATCGGAGTTAAATTTGAAGTGGTCCAGTTGAAAGCAGTAGATGTTTTACTGCTTGCTAACTTACCTGCAATTGAATAGTACCTGGGGCAAATAGTTGCCCCTAGGTTGGCCTTCTCTCATACTTGGGTTTTGATGCATAATTTTAAGTAACCAGCTTGCAGTGGCTGTACCAGTTGCTGTACGATTTGATCAGACAAGTCTTCATAAGAAATATTTTCTTTCATGCTGTCTGCAGGAACACCAGTGTACTCAGTAGCCTGGGGACCTGATTCTGAAAAGGTTCTCTATACGTCAGGAAAGCAGCTGATTATTAAACCTCTCCAGCCCAATGCCAAAGTTTTACAGGTATCATTAATATAAAACTATGTATTTACTGAGCTATGTGAGTATTAATCCAGAATTAAGTGAAAAGTAGAGGGAATTAAAAGCAGGGCTGCATTCAAGTCAGTGAATGAACTTAGTCCAGTTCTCAGAGCAAAACTAGCACATCTGGAGAAGGTCTGCCTGTGATTCCAGCACGTTATGTCCTTCTCTTGACTTTTTGCAATGCCTTTGCTTTGTTAAATTCAAACTATATTCTGATTTGATATTAATGATAGACACATCTGACAATACCACGTATTGTTAAGGTTGTCTCACGCTTCCCATGTGAAAATGTTTTTCAGTTTTTATGACGTTGCCAAATATAAAACATTTTGTGTTGGAATTTTCCATGTAGCATATGTGCCACTCATTTTGCTCTCCCGTTTTAACCAGATTTCTTCATTTTTTGAGAATAAGGCAATTGTTCATTTCCTAAATTAAATTTATTTGACAATTTCTGCTACTAATAAGGCCTTTGAGTAAGTATTTCCTTTTATATAAATAAAGGCAGAAAATGCAGAACCCTTTATGAAAAGGGACAACAGTACAGAAACCATAGCTTGGAACATTATGTTAATGTAGATTTTTATGCTCTGATCTACCTTGTTCTAAACTATATTTAATCTATTATTTTGAAGAACAGATAATGTCTGTTTGTATAGTTGAAAACCCTTATTTTTGTTCATTTGAATGCTACTAAATGATAAATATTAGGAGTCGTATCTGTAATTAATTTATTTCCTCCCATTTCAGTGGAAAGCCCATGATGGACTTATTTTAAAAATTGACTGGAACTCAGTCAATGATCTTATTCTGTCTGCAGGCGAAGATTGCAAATACAAGGTGAGTCCTTGTTGACTTCTCAGGGGAAATAAAATTACCCAAAGGGATATTTTTAGGCAGTCTGATGTTTTATAATTTTAGTAACACTTACAAGCTCAAGTTTAATGGAGAAGTCTTTCAGTTTTCAGGAAAAACTTAATACCCCAAGATGTATTAAGCTGTATTACTTGTTAATACATCCCACTCTATCTAGTAGCATTACAAAGGTTTGGTAGAGAAAATACGCCAGAATAAAAATAAGTAAAATGCAGTTGAAACAATCTGCCAAACGAAAATGTGTAGAACTCTAATGCGTACTGAGAAATGTAAGGAATTTTTAAGATTAGTGGAGATAATTATTTTCTGTTATAGGAATATACTTCTTCTGTTATAGTAATAACAAGGTATCTTGGGAAATTATGTGGTTGGAATACTGTACATCCAAAATAGAGAAAACATACTGTATGATTAACTTACGTGAGTGAAAATGATACCTCTAGAATAAGTAAAAGCACAGGCAGAATATGTCTGAATATTTTGTTTTGTTTTTTGTTTGCTTGTTTTAAGGTTTGGGACAGTTACGGGCGGATACTGTACAGCTCACAGCCCCATGACTATCCTATAACATCCGTTGCCTGGACTATGGATGGAGAATTATTTGCTGTTGGGTCTTTTCATACTTTACGTCTATGTGATAAAACTGGGGTAAGTAACAACTCTGAGAAGCAACATTTGTGGAAATTTATTGATAATATGGTAAATATTCCCCGGGATATAAGTATATGGACAGGTAGTCTTATTTGGAGAGACTTGTTTTTTTGGCCAGCATCATTCTCCTGAATACATCTAAGAAACTGCCTTCTTGATCTGCTTAGCTGCCCTTACAAATATGTTTTGGCCTGAGTAAAAAGTTTCATAATAGTCTCTCAGAACATTAAACTTTTTCTGTATGTTTTAACTTGTTATTATTTAGCTTTTCTTTTTTCAAGCAAATCTTGTAAAAAGATCATAAGAAGAATGGCAGATGTGATTATCAAGCATTAGAAATAAGAAGTTTAAAACAGTTGTAAGGAGAATCTAAGAGAACGGTCTTGCATTTGTTTTTTGATGCTAGACAGGACGCTGTTTCCAGCTAAAGATGTATTTTGCCCGGAGCTTCTCTAACATGGCCACTTGTGTATTCATTAGCAAAGTGTCCCTGGCCTTTTGCTTGTTTATTCCTTTTTTTTAAACATATGCAATTAGTACTTCCCAACGCTTCCTAGAAGAGGTACCTCTGCTCCTCTTTCCTTTTGCTTTTCTGACTTGCAGCTTTGCTCCAAGTTTGTTATTGTGGACCCTTTTTATTTTTTTTTTCCACTTGGTCTCCAACTGAAATTAAATTAATGTAGTTTCATCCGCCTTTGCTGCCATTCAAAGTACGTTAAGGCAGGGCACAGACTGACCTCATTGTCTCTGTGGATTTCCTGTGGCTCTGCAGTGTCTTGTTCAGACTTGCACCGCGTGCAGCCTCTCTAGGCTGGGGGCTGTTACTGTTTACCCCTTTTGCTGGGTTTTTTTGCACATTTGCTCAGGCTGGCAAATCAGCTTTTGCTGTGGTGCTTTGGGGCGTTTTCACCACCGCCTGCTCCCACATGGTCCCCCTTGCCATGAACTGTGACCACGCAGTTTAAATATTTATACATTCACAAAGAACAGCCTTTAAAAATTGCATGAGAAGAGACATGCAGGTTAACTTGCCGTATCTTAGTTGTCATATTTCACTTTCTGTGCTGATTCTCTTCTTGGTAATGTTCACTGACAAAAGTAAGTGTAAGGTAGGCCTCAAATGTGAAGCAAGGATGGCTTTTATTTTTTGTGGTTCATGCCCTTCCCTCTTGCCTTGAGAAATTCCTAGAGTTACTTAGTCTGTGTAAAACTTGGCAAATGGTTATCTTGAAGGAAAACTACCCACTTGCAATTTTATTTTAGAAAGTACCCATTTTCAGCTTTTATTTCAGTTATTTTATTCTGATTTCTATCTACAGTAACTGTTTTTTTGTTTGTTTGTTTTAACCTGTGTGTTAGGAACTCCTTTGGAAAAATCAGAAAAAAATGTGGTTAGAGTTAAAGCCTGATATACACACACCTCATTTTTTTAATCTATTTACTGTAATTTAATTTCATTTAAATATAATTGAAACAGTTGCCTCACTGACCCTTGTTTCTTATCTGCCTATATGAGTATGCTATTATAGAAGTGTTTATATGCATATCATTGATTTAGCTTAGTGAAACTAAATAAGGTATATGTAATTACATCTGCATAGGACTGTATTGTGTAAAATATAGTGTTTTAAAAAATGAGACTAGCCATTAGTGTTTTCTTCTTAAGGCAGCACTTTAAACCATGCCCTCTTCTTCCACAACTGTTTTCCATCTTCTTCCTGGGTACTAGCATCATGAAGCTATACTGGCAAACTGCAAGCTGAAATGAATGGGCTCCTATGTGGGTGAGCCCAACAGTTCAAATTTCAGATTGCATTCAATATAGATACATGCTTAGAACAAAAATTTGATATCAAAGATTGATGCAGTGGAAAAGGATTTCAAAAAATCTTTTTTCTTTTCTTTCTGCTCTCAGGTACCTCTGTTTTGTAGCATATAGCATTTCTTTCTATCATCCAGGACCTTATTTTTTTAACTCGTTAGCTGTAATGTAATTTAATCTAAGCACAGTTCAAACTCTCTTGCTAGCTGGAAACTGGTAATTTTAAAATTGGCATTTAATATTACATGGTCTTGTGGACTTTGTTAAAATTTTAATGCAGGTAGGTTTATTTTTCCATAAAATGAACAGTTCTTTGTGCTGGTTCGTTAGTCAGTCTTACAGAACATGCACAGTAGCCAGTGCCAGATGCTTTGTCTGTTTAGCAGCTAGAAATGATAATTTATTAGGTTAATCTTTAAAAGTCATGAATTTCATGAAATTTTCTTTCCTGACATTAGCTGTAAATTGTTACTAAAGAACTAGTTTTGCTAGGATTGAGGGAAAAGGAAGAATGACTCACACACCACCAGAGTGATGGAGTTTGAAGAGAACCAGACCTGGCTTTTACTGGTCAACATAGACATTTTTATTATGTCTGATGTAATGGAGCTGTATTGGCAAATTGCTCCTTGGGGAGCCATCAGGCGATATACATATCATTAACTCTTCTCTAGCATGTGTGTTCAGTTTGGGGACATAATTAAATTAAATTCTGTTAGTGTGTGTTCTTTTCTCCTTTTCTTTTTTCCTTGTTACTTTGTTCTAGCAGCTTTACGTTCAAAAAGAAAAACACAAATATTATAGTAACTTTTAGAACAGTTAGGTGTCTGAAATGAAGAAATATCCCTTCCTTTGACAACATTATATTTCTGAAGAAATGACATGCCTGTCATACAGAATAATAATGCATATTTTATGTTGGAATTCATTGCCTACTTTGCTGTCCATGATAATTAAGCTTATGGTAAACATTAAGATTAATATTAATGTGTGAATATTAAAAGGAAAACTGGCTGTATTGATGAATAGACTTTAGCTTTTTCTCAGCTTTTGAAATTCTAGTCATTTGTATGGAAGGCAATGCTTAAAAGTTCATTTATGTAAGTTATTTCCTGGAGCTCTACATGCTTCCCTTGACGTTACTGGTTGGGTCAGAATATTGGCATGGTAGAAGGTGGTAAGAATGACTATAATTCACTAATTTCCCTCCTTTTTCCTTTCTGCTCACACATAATATCTTGGAAAGTGGACCATATACATGTGCTGTAAAGACAGGTTGCTTCCTCTTTTTTGGGAAGGAGAATTTAACAAATAATTTAAAAAATCCTTAAAGTAACTGTGGTCAAATTAATCCTTTTAGAATTATCAACAAAAACTAGCAAGGATAAAGACAAATTTTATATTTTATTAAAGTGGGTCTTTGTTTTGGAGAGGCCTTTCAGGGTTTTTGTTTGTTTGTTTTTTCATTAATAATTATTCTTAATGGGATCAGTTTGGTTTGGTTTTTATTTTCCAAATTAACAGTGCTCTTCATTGTTTCTAAACATTTTTCCTGGTGATGTTCACCTGCAGTCTGTTTTTGCAATAAAAAGATGCTTGATCTTGCCTTTCGATTTACTTCAAGATCTTGATTTGATCTCTAGGTTTAGCAACTGTTTTATAATGAAAAAATTCTCTGTGCATCAGACTGTAAGTTCTCTTTTTAAATGACTACATTCTATAGGGCTTCTCTTTTATTACTTTATTTTATTTCCTTTTATTACAGGATGAATTGAGGCCATTTTACTAGGCTGCCAGTTTGCTTGTTTGGCTGCTTTTGTTTACCCTTGCATTTTTATTTCATGGTTTATTCCATGCAATCTCTAATTTTGCCAGTAGATATACAAAAATATTTGGGAAATAATAAAACTTGGCAAATATTGTCTGGTATGTAGAGAAAATCAGGTTCGGTTTGGCCTGGCTTTGCTCGGTCCCGCTCAGCTCGGCTGCAGGGGAAGCAGCCGAGGGGCAGCCCCACTGCGTTTAGTTTTAGTCTTGTTTTGCAGAGATATGTATTTGGCAGTATTAAAAAAAAATGTTTTTTTAGTTTTGTTCTTTTTTTTTCCTCTATTTCATCTACCTTTATTTTAAGAGTCTTGATTTTGAATTCTTTGTACCTCAATAAAAGAAAAATATTACAGATAGGTTGCCCATTGGATTATGTTGGGAACTGATTCTTTCCAAGTTGACATATTTTAATTTAATAGAATTGGCTATTGCAACTTGTGGAAGAAAATGAAAACATGTGGAGTATCTATGGAAGTAATAATCTATTTAAGGAACTACATCAATGTTTCATTTTCTAAGGCTAGGAATTTATATGGGACAGTTTCTCCTGTATAATTAATAATAAGACATTGGTCTTTGTTCTCCTTAGATCTAATAATTATGAGAAGGTGTGAGAATTTTAGATGTCCTCTGTAAGACTCTGTCCTAGTAGGACACTTCATATAGAGGTAGTGTCTTTGTCAGTTTTTGATATTTCACATTAATTATTGGGCCAAAGTCCAACAAATAAGTTTAAGAAGGCACCAGGAACCCTCCTTCATTCTGTAGTTCAACAGTCTTGTGCCAGAGCTGGTTTTCCACTTGAGGTTATACACGTCTGTATTCACGTGTAGCACTGAATTTCCTTGCCTCCAGTTATACATATTATCTCTTCAACCTAATGGAATCTTTTGTGGATTCCCCTGTGGTTGGAATTGAAAACTTTACAATAAAGTTGTCATATTTTATATCCAGTAAAATACATTGGTGAGTGTGTGTGTGTATGTAGACATATATACATAGGTATTTCCCATGATCTAATTCTGTATTCATGTGCGTAGTTAGGTTTTTCGAACACAACTGAAAGTAGATTTGCTTTGGATAACTGATCTCTATGATTTTGTTGAGATCTGATCTGCCTGCTGCTACACTGGGACCTGAATAGTAATTTTGTGAAGTGAAGCTTCGGAATGGATGCCAGATTCCACCTAGTTTCTTTGTAGGTGACTTTTTTACGTAGCTATCTTTAAGGCTTTCCTTGAGTAATTTTCTGTGCTGTTTTCTCAAAGAAGCTTTTAATAGTCCTGTCACATCCAGGAAAAGCAAAATTCTGATTTGTCACAATTCTCCTTCCCTCCCCCTGAATGCTCCGTGCTTGTGAATTGGCTCCCTGGATCTTCCGAGAGTCGTTTTTTTTACCATATGAACCTGCTCGTGGGCTACAACGCACCGGGTTGGTGCCCACCAGATGTTAATGTTCTCCTCCCTGTGCATGGATGTGAAAACCCTTATGGGGCATGAGGAAAACCAAGTTTCCAGTGAAAAAATACTGCTTCTCCATTAGGAGGACCTGAAAAGTTCTTAAATGTTAGGCGGGGATTTTTATCACTTAAAATATAAGCAACATTCTTTCTTCACTATCTTCTTCTGCATATTTATGTTAAGATATTATGTGGGTAATTAATTTATCCCATTCGGTGTAGAAATCATAGCTATCTACAGCCTTCCTAGTTGGGTCTTGAAGCTATCAGTATTAGATATGTGAAACACTGTCCTTATTCCTGGGACACGGAGTTCTCTGAATCTGCTCATGGAAACCAGTTGACCTACATCTGAGGAGCTTCCTCGGTGTCCATTTATGGAAAAGAGACAGTATTCAAAGACTGCGGTGCTTCCTCGGGCTTGCTCCATTGTGTAATCAGAAAAGGGAAGCTTCAAGTTATTGCTCTTGTGTATTTATTTAATACCGTGAAGCTTTTGTAACTACTGTTTTTGTTCTTGAGATAGTTCGCTGAATTCAATACAGAATTAAATATGAAACAGAAAAAGGATGAGCCAAACAGCAATACCAAAGTATTGCAGCACTGCAGCTAATGTTGGAACAATTAGTCATATTTATATTCTGAATTTTTAACTCGGTATATCTAGGAGATACATGGCAGCTATTTCAGTTCTAAAAAATTGTTTCTGTCTTGCTAATGGAAAGGAGTGATTTTTATTCATTAACATTTCTTACACATGAAGAATGTACCAGACATGGTACATGGTCTGAATGATATTGAGAGCTTTCAAAAATAAACAGGAAGTAAAGCTGTAAAGCTTTATAACTGCTTTATATATATATATATATATAAATTAATTTTGTTTTTAATGTGGAAATATTTTACTAAGTATTTGATCTAGATGAAAACCAAACTTTAGATCAAAAGCCATAGTTGTTGAAATACACTCTACCTTTGAGATAGGATGCATCTGCTAGGCATAAAAAGTAATGCCGAGCCATTTTCCTTAGGCTCCGGTTCCTTATAGATGGCTTGGCACCCCTTTATTGCTCATTGTGACTCCTGGGTGCATTCTTCATCTGAGGCAAGTGACTTTGGAGGGGGCTTTGTCTGTTTGGGAATATCCTACTACCTGGCTTTGAAGTCGTGCTCCTCCAAACCGAGCGCATCTGGACAGCTGTGAAAAACATGCCTCGGTTTTGGGACAGTTAGAGCTTTCTCTGAAGGTGCTCGGTGCAATCATTTGTCCCTCAACTCGAGCGCTTACTCACTTGCCATAAATGGATGTCGGACAGAAGTTAAAGATTATCCTCTTGATTGCTATGGAGTGTCTCATACGGATTTCATTCTGTTGAGGCAGAAGAGTAGGTTATGGACCTTTCCCAAAAAATTGCAATTAGCTTCCCCGACTGCAAATCATAGGCAGTGAATGGCATGTCTGCGAGCCAAGAGCCCTGGAAACCGAAGCCTTAAAGCCGAGTCCCTGAGCCTGGAAACGCAGCCAGTGCTGACATTCTGGCTCGCGCTCACCCTCATGCGCGCAGGCAGTAAAAGAGCCTGCGCTCAGTAGGTGATCTAGGCAGTATTCTGCAAATCATTAGCACAAGTGGGAGGTTGAATTTCATCCCATTGTGTTTCCTTGCCGTTGAACATTTAAGTCAGACACCTCTATTTTAATGTAATTTTTGTGATTTCATTTAATATAAATCATATGAAGACTTTGAGTGTGTGAAGAGCTGAGTATTCCTTGGGTTTTGTGTGTGCTGCAAAAGAAATCAGAACATGAAATGTGTTAGAGACATTAGGTGAGTATTTTCTTCCAACTGTTTCTCCTTTGGTATAATATCATGTATCCGAAAGCCATTAGAATCAAATGTCTACATTTAACTTCAATCACATGTCTTTTGTCAGTGATTTGATTCTTCTGATGGCTTTAAATATATTTGTATAAATCTTCAAAGAAATATGCAATAAGCTTTTAAATTGTTCAAGTTTTCTTTTTCTTTAATATTCTAGTACACAACTTTGAAGAGGCTATGGTTGAGATTGCAATTTACATCTCGTTTAATTATTTTTTAATAGTCTGTTAATTTTTTTGGTGATCCATTGTCAGGAAAACGCCTCTTGTCAGGAAAACGCCTGTTGTCAGGTTTAGGGTGATTTCTGAAATGCCCGAAATAGAAAACAAGTGTCTTGGTCTGAAAATTCATCTCTTTTTGACAAGAAATTATCAAGAACAATCCAGCTAAATTAGAGGAGTCTCATACCTGAGATTGGGGAATTGAAGAATTAAGTTCTTCACTGGAGAAAATGGAAATAACAAAAATGAACAAAATTAGCTTAGGGTGTATGTGTGTGGAAATAGATCAGCCTTTAACTTGGGCTGAGAAGTGAATGAAAGTTGTTACATGCATCTCTTCTTTTTAATGTTGTCGCTAGTTAAATGTAAGCTTCTCTTGTAACTGCATTTGTGCCCCAAATCAAAAGGGGAAAAAAAAAAAAGTGCTGGTTTTATACTTTTTGCTTGTTCTTTATGCTTGGGACTTTGATAGGATTAAAATAGATTAGAAAAGAAGGATTTCTGTGAAAAGGGCATCCGTATTGAAATGTACTGCATATACTAATTTCTGTTCACTTTATTTGCCATTAGCACCACCAAGGCAAAACTTCTTGCAAGTCTCATGTTTTCCCTTTCCGCTATCTCCAGTCAGTTGTTTGCTCTGTTAGTGAAGATAATAGCATTTTATTTCCTCTCAGGTTTAAAAAAAAAAAAAAGCTCAGTTTATTAGTTATTCCTAAATTACTCATTTTTAACAGCAGTGATTTCTCACCTGTGCTATTTCACAGCTAAAATGTTACTACACAGCCTAACCTCTTGCAAGGCTCCTTTATTTCTGTTGTTTTGGGGTGTCTGCTAGCAACTAGCCCACGTTTGGGGAGTGCTGGGCAACAGTGCCCAGGGCGCTTGGCCGAGCCGCGCTCGCCGCGCCGAAGCGGGACATTCACTTGGCCCCGCTGCCTTTTCCCTTGCAGCAAACGCCTCCGTTTCCAGGACTTTTCTGCTATTCCAATAATTTGGGGCTTCGATTTAAAAAACAATAAACCAAGCTGATAACTTTGTTTTTAATAGGCAGGGATGACGTAAGTCAGTAGTAGAATACGAAGGAAAATATGTTAGCCATTAAGGGCTTTTATTTAGAGTGTTGGCCCCCGTAGCACAGAAACACATTCTTCAGGCCCGAGTGAGCCGTTCCACCTTGCAAAATCCAGTTAGCAGGAAAGTGCATTATTAGGCTGATTGCCTCCTACCTGGATTTCTAGTTGCTTAGGAAAACAACTTCAAATTTGCTTCTCATTCTTACTGGGAAAGCCTGTAGTATCTTTACATCATACTCCTGGTTTTCCAACCTGCTTTAGCCAAGTCCATTTTAACTATTTTTTTCTGTAAGAAGAGGCTTATTCTGTATTCTAAGTTTTATGAAGAGTTTCTTGTGTCCTGTTCAAAGCTGCCCTAGTCTATCCCAGTACATTATTGGATTTCATTGAATATGATGTTCTAGGAATATGTATTTTGCTTTTAATCTGTGGAATTGAGAGGAATGGGACTTCAAACAAAAGATCTTGTCATAGTGTCATCTAATTACTGGGAATGAAATTTAATTAAAATCAATTAAATGCTACAGAAGAATTATTGTGTTAGGTGAGGGTTGGCAAAACTGATCAAATAGTTTATTTGCGGGAGGGGGCATAGAAGTACATTACATAGAAGTACTAATTATTGCCAATAATTTAGGCTGTCCGTTACTGTTTTCTGAACTTTCTGAGATTTATGTCCTATTAAGGAATACAGAGACAACTGTCTCCTTTCTTTTCTATGTGTTATTTAAAGCACATTAAATTAAAGTACATTCTGTGGGCCTTTGAAATGATGTTATTTCTCATTTGTTATATGTTTCAAGCCATTAGATGGTTCTCCAAGTTTATCCTAGATCTCTGTATTAATCTAAAATGACTGGCAAACCTGGAGCTATTGCTTCTGGTTCTCTTTAGAGCCAGGCCAGGCGTCACTGCTTTGGTTGTAGTGGATTTGGGGAGGCCACGGGAGGGTAGAATTGACTGGTTGAAGTTTTTTTGCAAGCATTAGAACTGGGAATTTTTATTATGTCCTGCTATAAAATAACTGACAGAGCCTATAGAAAAATTTGGGCAAGATACCTAGGAGCCTTTGGGAGCTGAGTTGTAGAACACTGTAAAAGTTTTGCTTTTAGACCTTCCCTTAATCCTCCAGGGTAGGAAGCAATGAGGGATGGATCACAGGAGCTTTGCAATTCCCCGTGTACCGTGAGGGTCTTCCTTACACTGGCTGATTTGCTTGGGCAAATTATCTAGGAACTACTGTCACTGCAGCATAAAAAAGCAATGTCTCACACTATTGTAGCATCTTGTACCCCTGCAGCCAACACGTACTTTTTTCTAAGTATGTTCACATGTTTTTAATCTAGTAATTGCTTAGATTTATAAATGATCTAGTCATGGTACATTAAAATATACCTAATAAAATTTGTCTAAGATACTTCAGGTATTGTGGCATTTTTCATTCACGAACTTTTTGGTTTTGTATCCCTGCTTTTCAAGTAATCTTACTTAAGAAACATTATCTCCTTGGTTTAATACTTTTAAATTTTAAGAAAAAATGATAAATCTTTTTGCAATTATAAGTATCTCTATAAGTCTGTTTATTACAATAAATCACTTTATGGAAATGACTTATTGTGTATGATTAAAAAATTAAATGTTCTTTTCTCTTTTTTCTGCAAGTGGTCTTACGCTTTAGAGAAACCAAACACCGGCAGTATATTTAATATTGCTTGGTCTATTGATGGTACTCAACTAGCTGGAGCATGTGGTAACGGGCATGTTATTTTTGCCCATGTTGTGGAGCAACGCTGGGAGTGGAAGAATTTTGAAATAACATTGATTAAGAGGAGAACCATGGAGGTAATCTTTACAATTCATTAACAACTTCCTGAGGTTTTTTTAAACAAATAATTTGAAAATATAATCCTGGAATAATGAATAAGTGTGTCTTTTTACATACATATGTAGTAGGACCATAAAATGGTCAGCATGAGAAAATGGTGTAAACGATTATTAGTTGTATAGAAGATGAGATGTGCGTAAATAAGACTGGCAGCAGATGAACTAGAGTTAGATAGCTGAGATCAGAATCAGATTAGCTGTGGTAAACCTCTTATGAGAGAGAATTTTAAGTGCAACAAAAATATTTATGCAGAAAACAATGTGAGTGCATTGGCCAAAACCAAAGGATCATATTACCTTAAATTGTGTTACAGCAGCTGTGAACCAAAAGAGGAAGCTGCACACATATAACTAAGCGTGGACAATATACAGGAGGGCTTTCCACCTTCCCTGCACCCAGGAGTTGTTGGTGGCACTGGTCAGCTCATAAAGGCTAATGCTTTAGGAAGGTTTACTTACAGACGTGTTGTTAATGAAGCTGTGATGAATGTTGCTGTCTTAATGCATTTCAACATCCATTTGGTTGCTGACGGTGATTGTAAAGCTGTTTCTGTCAATATGCTCTTGAATGAAGCATTAGGAAATGAAATGCTTGGGAAAAAAAACATTCAGACAACTGTAGTCAAGCTAAATATCTACAGTTAGGACACCAGGTCTTAAAAACAAAATGACAGAAGCGAAAGGCTTCCTCTTACACTTTGCAGGTACCTACATGGTGCTCTCATCTCTTAAATCCCAGCACTGTGCATTGCCCTGAGCGGGAGCTGCCAAGTCTCCACACTGTGAGAAACGAGGCAGACCCCTGCGTGTGGTTTCTGGAGCTTAGATTTAGGATCCCTCATTGGAAAATCTTGGCCAGAATCCACATGTAGGTTACCAAATATCTGGGAATTAATACAAAAATATGATTTTTTACCTTCTTATTTGTCCTCTGTGTTCCCAGACACTGACTCATAACATTTTCTTTGTGAACAGTGGGATAATATAAGATTTCCATTCTTACAAATTTTCCCGATTACACATACAGTGTTAGAGACCAGGCCAGTACTTTCAATATCGAAGTCAAGTTCTTGAATTCCTAATTAGGCACTTAAATTTTCTTTGGTCTTGATTCTTTAATGTTTAATAAGTAATTGGGAAAAGTTGTAACAACAGAAATGCCGTATTACAACTCAGTCTGGTGGGTGGGATAATATGACTCAGTGTCTGGGAACACAGAAGACAAATTAGCAGGTAAAAATTCGTATTTCTTCTTTCATTCCCAGACATCAACTCGTAACAGATGGGCTCTTTTAGTAATCTCCAAGGAGTTTGGCTATGCAAACAACGAAGGAAGTACAACTAACCCTGATTCAGGATTAACATTTTATTAAATTATTTGTTATAGTTTTATTCATATGTATTTATGCAGGAAAACATTGCCCACAAAAGGTTTCTAGCTGCATTGATTTTTTTCACTCTGTATAGCAACAGCAAAATTAATTGTGGATTTGTCATTGTGGTAGACACAAAAATTAGTGTGTCTATGGAAATGGTTTCTAGACTTCCATAATAGTTGAGTTCAGTCTTTGTTATGCAGTTAGTTGCAGAATTAAAGAAATCAAAGAGAAGTTACCACCTTCAGGCCTGGTGACATCTTAAATAATAATCATAATTGTCCTAAGAGATCTCATTAAATTTCAACTGCCTTGCATCTGTGGGCCCAGCAATCTCTTGATTACAGACAAACCATGATTTTACTGAAAAATATTTTGAGCTGAAAAATATTTTCACAGAAATGGCAAATGCACAGTGTACTTGCAAAGGCCAACTCCCCTAAATTTCACGTACTCCAGGTAGCATTAAAATATATAGCAGAGATATTTAACATCTAAACAACATATCTGCATTCCAATCTTGATGCAAGATTGAGCAATCCTGCTCAGTTGTTTTGATGGGATCACTGGCACCTTGCATTTCAAATGTAATGTTCTGCAACTGAACACTGAGTCTTCGAATGGGAACTTCCAGACATCCTTGATCACAGATACTCCTATATAATATTGTACTTATACCTAATTTATTTATTTTACTTGTAAGTAAATCCATCCAGCTCTTGAGTAATTTTTCTTTTCATCTCTCTACCTTGAGCATTGCTGCTGTTGTGGTGGCTTTAGCCCTTTTAAAACAACTGACTCTTGCAGTATCTTAGGTAAGATGATGCTTCTGACTTTTAATTAGAACATCCATGCAGGAAGATAGACCGTGTTTACAAATTGTCTCTTTAAACAGAAAGGAAATTAAAAGATAAACATATTTAATGCAAACTTATTTATTTCAAAATTTAATGTTTATTCAAAGTTTCCTGAACCTATGGAATCAGGTTTTCACCATTGCTGTGAAAGTACCCGTTCCTACAGGTGGATATGTTTTTCTGCTAACTGCATAGGAGAATCAGCATGTGTTTATAAGAAGAGTGTGATATTTCACTGATTTGTTTACATTTCAGTTATTGTGATTTTATTCAACCAAATATCTCTCCTGTTTAGGTGCGCAACGTTATGAACGACGCAGTAGACTTGCTGGAGTTTCGTGACAGGGTTATTAAGGCCTCCTTGAACTACGGTCATTTGGTTGTTTCAACTTCTCTTCAGTGTTACGTGTTTTCGTAAGTAGTACTAATTCATGTTTTTTTTCTTAATTTTTCATTCGGGTAACTGTGGTACAATAGCAGGATAAAGTTCATTTGAAATACAGTGATGTTTGTATGCTATTTCTTTTGAAAGCAATTGAACCCAGGCTGTAACAGGGTATGCAAGCAAAGGGCTCTGTGCTACCTCTATTTCTTCAGTAAGAAGTTGAGCTGCAATTCATGAATATTTCAAGGTGTGTTTGTTTCGTAGAAATGTGATTTTGCTGCTTACTCAGCATCAGCTATAGCTAATGTGAAGGGATGGAAAAACAAAGGAAGGGCAGAAGCGTTACCGGATCATACTGCATGATTGTCTGTTTTACTTGACTGTTTTTCCTTAGAAAATCTCCTTTCAGAATGTTAAATGCTTAAAATATGTTTGCTTTACTTAGCAAATTCAGCTTTGTATTTGCAGTGATATTTGAAGACCATCAGTTTTAATAACAAATGAACTTATTTCTTTTGTAGTACGAAGAACTGGAATACACCAACTATCTTTGACCTGAAGGAAGGAACAGTCAGTTTAATTCTACAGGCAGAAAGGTAGTTTACTTATTGTAATACTCATTATAAGATTCTTTCCTAAAATGTACAGAATTACAGTATTTGCAAGCCAGGCTTAGGCAGTGTAATGAACTGGTCATTTATCTTGTAGTAGATTGAGATGAATGATCAGAGTTCTCTTGTGGAGCAATATGTGTAGAATGCTGTGTGCAAGCAATATGCTTTATCACCAGGAGTTGTGAGACTTCAATCTTGTAATAGTTAGAAAAGAGAAGTAGCACGGCAATCATACAGACTTCAGATAATAAATATTTTTTTTACTATGGAAAAAGATAACATTCATATTAAAATTGAAATAATCCATACAGAGCTTTCAGAATATCAATTTGTAATGTAAAATTTAGAAATTATGTAATTTAACTAGAAAACAACTGCAGGATGTGCCAGACATTGGACTGCTATCTTCAGATTGTTGAAACTGTAATCATTCTTTTCTGTACTGTTCAGTGATTTGCATTTGTGTTGGTTTTTGTAGGCATTTTCTTCTTACAGATGGTGGAGGGCTTTATTTATATTCCTATGAAGGAAGATTAATTTCCTCTCCAAAATTTCCAGGAATGAGAACAGACGTTTTAAATGCCCAGACAGTATCTCTGAGTAACGATACTCTAGCAATAAAAGACAAAGCTGATGGAAAGGGTATGTTCTCAGTTCTGACTCTTTTGTGTTTGCTAATAATTCATTATCAGGTTTTCTTGTTTACATTTCAGTTTGATTTTCATGTTTGGTGTGCTTTTGGTGAAAAGAAAGCATGAATAATGATTTATTTTTCTATGATAAAAAAGATTATTCTAAAAATGGCTTAAAATTATGAGTTTTGCTTAACTTTGATTAAAAACTTAAAAGAATGATGTATGTCTGATCTGCCAGTCACACATGTAATACACTGCAGAACCACTGAGCATCCACAACAGGGTACTTCAGCTGTAGGTTTAGCAGCTCAACTACTTTTTATCTGCTTCACAGCAACTCTTAGAAGCCTCTAGTGTATCAACTGTAAATAAATGCAGTTCTCAGATGTTTTTTCTCTTAAGGTTTTGGAGGGTTTGTATCTTTACAGTGTGTCAGTCTTATATGCAGCTGTTGTGACCATAGTCCTGAGGCTGTGATGCTCTTTCTCACTGTAGTGGTCCTGGAGACTCTCTGCAGTTTCTGTTCTGGCACCAGAATGCTATTATTTTAAAACAAAACATGAGCAGGTTTGCTTCAGGTGAATTTTTGCATTAAGGCGAGGTGCAGGAATATTTTCAGTTATCTTTTCTCCATCCTTCGTTCTGTCTCCTGAAGGACACGTGCAGTTTCTGTGTGCAGCAGTTTCACTATTTCACGTCTGCTGCAGCACTGGAAGTCGTGGCTCTCCGACTTTTGGCATCAAAACCGTGTCATTTATAGGCCACATGCACATCACAGTGCAGAGCTGTGCTGTTATCTGTCACTATCTCCCACTGTGATATGGCCACTAAGAGGATGACCAGTGGAAACACATGTGCGTGGGAGCTGCTGTTACCTTGGAATGAAACACTGGAAACTTCCTGCCAGGAGTTCCAACTGACAGTAATTCAACCCATACAAGCAATCTGTTATTCTAGACTTAATTATAGGCAGTGAGTTAACTCTTTAGTAATGCCTGCATGGTGGGATTCTCACAACATAACCTGCAACTTAAATTACTTGAAGACTGTGGGGAGGACTTTGATATAATCTTTTACAATATCCCTCCCCAACCCGAAAAGAAAAGAAAAACAGGGGAGATTTTGTCTCACTTTTGTTGCATTTGCGTTTTGCTGCTCTGCGCAACTTAATATATTAACTTTTTTTTTGTACATCCTTGTTTTTCTGTGAGAACAAATGATTTATTTTTCTTTGAATAAATACTTCTAAGAATAGTCATATAATTGTGACTTTTCATTTTTCAAGTCCTCCAGACTTGAGACATTAAAAATACCTAAAATAGCTGTGTAATAATCCAAAGGGATTTTAATTAGTAAAAATACAAAAATGATTCAGAAGAATCTTTTTTATTTTAACTTGATGTGTGTTTGGGTGTGTGTATGTTTATGTTTGTTTAGATATTACATAGTATGTATAAAAAACAGAGACTCTATCGGCATCTCTGTGCTTAGTCCTTCCACATTCTCTAATGATCCTAATTATTGAGTGAACCACATTGTCTAATGAACCCCATTCTCTAACGGTAGAGGTAGGAGAATCCAGTTTCAAAAGTAATGGCAAGTCATGGGATCAGTATCTTCATAATAAAGTTATGTTAAAAAACAAGTATTAGCTCTTTTCTTTTCCTGGATGTTTTAAAGCGAGAGAAAAAAAAAGACTTTGTTTATATTTTTAATTTTTACATATTTATTTTAGGTGCTAAAAGATTGTAAAGAGATACCGAAATTTTCCAGATTAAAATATATATATATTTTCCAAAATACCGTTGCATTGCAAAATAAGCATTGTAGATTGAAGAAATTAATGAAGAGTTCGTGAATTTTACCTACCAATTAGATATGATAGTTTTCTCTAAAACCCTCTTAATCTCACTTTCTGTAACTGCTAAGGCAGCAGCAAAAGCACTTTGTATAGCAAGATCAAAACACGTTTCTTGTAGGCAGCCCTACTTGGCAGTGAGAGAAGTACCACTTCTTGGGGCCAGCTATCTGTCTGCTGTACACTTAACAGCTGCCAAAGCAGCACTTGCGCAAAACTCCCCTTCTTGCTGCTGCTTCTTTTTCTATTTCCCCCTCCGCTCCAAGTCAGCCAGTGCTTTCTGAACACCTGCTCTTCGGTTTCTGGTTTTTTGTCTTCTGCCGCTGACCTCAAACCAACATCCTGCGTCCTTTGAGGACAGGCTGGGCAGGATGTTGGCGCTGGCGCAGGTGACGGCGCACGCGCGGCCCAGCCACGCGGGGCCGGGCCCCTCTCAGCATCTGAAATGCTGCTGCCCTTAGGTGGTTGCCCTCAGCTAGGACTGGATCATCAAATTACGGTTGATGTTCCTAGTAATGTCACTGTTTTCACTGAGTTTGAGAAATCCAGCTAGGCAGGTGTCTGGCTGAGTGTGTGTGCGCGTTCACTGTGTGCAGACCTGCGAATACAGAGAGAAAAAGACTCTCTAAGAAAGATTCAAATGCTCTCTCCATTGAACATCCTGGAAATAAAGATGAGGTAGGGTATTTTATATTTAATTTTTTTAGAGACAAAATTAAAACATACCTGGCTTAATCAGGTTTTTTTCGAGTAAGCCAGCTGTTAATGTGTCGTCGTGAATGAACGATGACGATATCCACAAGCCCTAAACCATCCTGGGATAGAATGTAGCTAAAGACTAAATACCACTGCTTTAAGAATTTCAGTTTTCACCCAATTGTTGTTAGTCTACAGAGATTCCGGAAGCAGAAAACCTCTTCGTGGAAGTCCAGAGGTGTGTACAAGTGTTTAGGAAAGTTATGACGTATCGAAAAGGCAGCGTTTCTATCATACCTGAAACAAATTGGAAAATGTTGCTGAAGGGTGTCTTACCCAATAGCTCAAAGACCAGCTTTCTATATATCTGATGCTAGTTCCTCAGGCAAAATGTGTCGGTCAGTGGTATCACTTTCTCATCTTCTATTCTTATCAAATTGTGGGCTAAGATTGAGTAAATAAATCAGATAGCCTGCAGGATACAAACCCATTGACCTGCATCAGATAGGGCTAGGTGTAGTTTCTGTACATAGGTCTCTAGGCTGTGTTAGGAAGTAATAGGAAGTCCATAATATCATCTTTCAGTATTTATAAGTTCTGCAAAACTGTTGATGTTTCCAAATTCTCACGGAGTACTCATAGTCTGAAATGAGATTATTCCTAGTCTCAGCAGGGTGTGATGGTTACCTTTAAAGATTGTAAGGTTTGTGAGCAGATCATGAAAGTCACTAATAAGTCAAGCATGTGGTAATAACAATCCACACTTTATACTCTGCAAATGAGTTGGACCACTTGGAAAATCTATCAAGTACTGCTAATTTTAACTAATAAAACATACAATTCTTTTTCCTTCAGTTATCTACATATTTGAAGCTTCATCTGGAAAGCCATTGGGTGATGGAAGGCCTCTAACGCACACAGTAAGATGTTATAATGTCTCTTTTTGATTTTATTTTGCAAATAATAACTTAAATATTAACTTTACAGAAAACTAGTAAAGGTTTATAATCTTGATATGAAACAGTTTGACAAATACAGTTGATTCTTATAAAATAACGACAATTAAATTCAGTATGCAATATAGATGTACAAAGGGATGTACTGTATATTGATTTTGGCCCTGAGCATGAATGCCTACAGGCGAATTATTGTCTTAAGTGGTAAAGCTGATCCTTTTGTTTGAATAGGACATGCTTTTGCTGATACAAATCTCCAGCATAAAAACAAGATATTTTCTTTTTCAATTTTAGACAGAAATTGTGGAGATTGCTTTGGACCAGAAGGGACTCACAAGTGAAAGAAAAATAGTTTTTATTGATAAGAATAGAGATCTTCACATTACTTCAGTTAAAAGGTTTGGGAAAGAACAGAAGATTGTCAAAATAGGTAAGAAAATTTCAAAATAATGTTAAAACTGTGAGCTAGTCAGAGAATAGGATTTTTTTTTTATCCAAATACTAAATTTAGCTTTTTAATTAATGATGAAATTGGACTTGACAAAGACTCTTGAATAGTCCTGCAGCTTTCTTAACCTGATAATTTTATATCAGCTGATAATTTTATATCAGTTACATAGGAAAGCAGTTGTTAACATTTAAGCACTTACTATGGTATTTTAGAGTAAACAACCAAGACAATATTGGAGAAACTTGTACTCCTCAGAATTATTCAAGGTGTTTGAATATTGAATTTTTTAGAAAATTTTCTTGGTGAGTCGAGTTCTTAAGTACATCTTATTTTTAGTTAAAAGCTTAAATTCTGCAGGCAAATGAGTGCCTGGGTGGAGTCTGGCCATTGTGTTCATTTACACTCTCAAAACTAGCCCCAAGCACTCAGTTAAGAAGCAACAGTCAAGAAGCCAAGAAAAGCTATTGCTTCTAGTGTGTTTTACCTACTGTATGCTATTATTAGATTATCAATAAAGTTTAAAAAGCAGTATACAACCAGCAACACCATACTACTTTGTCTCTATTACTATCTGAAACGAAGAGTCTGAATGTCAGAAAAATGCAAAATTGAATTTGGGTGAAAGTTTGTAAGATGTAACCTTACCATCTAGGAGGTTAAAACCAATACTTAGAAAAGGAGCTGCTTTATTTATAGTGAAGTTTAAGGAAGTATATGTTTATTATGAAGGTTCTTGTGGAAATGCATAATATTCTGTTATCTTTAAATTAAGGAATGATGGTTCATGCTTTGGCTTGGAATGACACTTCTAATATACTTTGTGGGATTCAGGATACCCGATTTACAGTCTGGTACTACCCCAACACAGTCTATGTAGACAAAGATCTTTTGCCAAAAACTCTGTATGAAAAAGATGCAAGGTAATAATACATCCTTTTTGATCAAAGCAGTATTAGTTTGTATTTCAAATATTCTTTTAAATTTCTTTACTCAGTTATTAAATAATTGTGTTAATTTTGCCAGTTGAGGTAGATGCCATGGCTGGAACTTTCAAAATTATTTCTGTATTCTTATTTCTACATCAGCGAATTAAGTTTTTTATAAGGTATAAACTTAATTAAATTTGGAGTTTAAATGGTAACTGCAGAGTTTAAAAATAGAATGCTATTTTCATGCAGACACAAAATTTTAATCAAATCTTTTGAAATATTGTCTTAGCTGTTTTTGAAAATAAAATAATTGATTGTTTAAAACATCTGTTTTAAATGAAAAGTATCAAAATAATTGGTCACAGATAACCACTTCAGCCTGTGGGGTCATTCCGAATAGGAAGTACTGAAGTCTGTTTCTCCCTTCTGAAAATACTTATTGACATGAATTTTTGTAAAAAAATTGTACACCTGAATTCATAACTTTATTCTAGAAATCATAGGAGTCCATTTTTTTAAATTGTAAATAGTACTTGAAAATCTAGTATTTGCACAAATACCCAATTTGCACTTGCCTGACAGTCAATGTGAGTATCATTTTATTTTTAGATAACTGTTGAGCATAACTGTTAAATCACTAGATGAGTAGATTTTTGTCTTTTTATGGTTTGAAAATGAATATACAATTATTCCATTCCTAATTTATCTGTCTTTCTCTAAACAGTGAATTTAGCAAAAATCCCCAGATTGTACACTTTGTAGGAAATCAGATAACAATTAGAAGAGCAGATGGTTCCCTTATTCATCTTAATATTTCACCTTATCCTGCGATTCTTCATGAATATGTTAGTAGCTCTAAATGGGAAGATGCTGTGCGATTGTGTCGCTTTGTCAAGGTAATTTTTAATTGCCAAAGTTTGGATATAATTTCACTGAAATGTTTTATTTATTTTTAAGTATTACTTCAGTAGTGATAATTAAATATTAGGCGTTATTTCCATTCTTCAAACTGTTTGTTTACTTTTCCTTTGTTGCTGATGATTTTTGGTGTGAGCATGAAAATTCTTACAGTTCTTATCTACACCAAAGACCAAATAGATTAAGCAAAACTATTTATGAAATTAATACACATAAGTTTTCAGGACTAGACATTAGTATAACTAATAAGTATATTAAAAATGTTCTGTATCTCCATATACAGTTATGTAGTGTTTTTTCATATTTTATTTCACTTCCCTTTTTTTTCCTTCACTTTCTTTTGTTTGTATTTAGGCAACAGCAACAAATGAGGTGAGTCTGGCAGTCTTTAAAAAACAAAGCAAACCCTGCCTCCTTTTCTCCCATTAACACTTAGAAAAGAATTTAGCATTTTTGTATGATTACCATGACCTTAAATACATGTTTAAGTTATTTTTTATATTTGCATTAACCTAGGCAAGTAGTTTGAGTTGCATAGCAATAGTTATTCCGAGTGTTGCGCCTTTCATAGTAGTTTTGATTCCAGTTTTTGGCAGTGGGAACTGGCATTTCAAATCCCATAGTATGTGGACTTTGTGAGTGATCTAAATGCAACAGTTTTAAATACAGAACACCTGTATTGGATGGTTATTTTCATATTATCATTTCTCTTAATTACTCTGGAGGTTTTCTAGTAAGAGGATTTTTTGCTGACCTTTTCATGTTTAATCTCCATTCTTAAGCTAGCTTTGTCCAAAAAGTCTGATCATACTTAAAGGAAAAAAGCATGAATTTTTCAGTGCTTTCTAATGAAATTGAAATATAACTATCATATTATTCTCACTGTCTTCATGAGTTTTTTCTCACTCGTCCACATCTATCAACAAGTGTGTAAGGCTTTTCTCTCAAGAAAGGCTGTAGCAGAATCTTTATTTTTGCTGTGAGGAGTATTCACATCATCTTTTTCTAAGCATCTCGGGTACCTAGGTCTCAGTTTTTGAATGTTTCTCCTTTCCATTGATTACAAGGAAAGTTATTGTTTTAGGTAAAAGAGAATTGAAAACCACCGAGACTAAATGATGTGAATATCCTTTGAATTTTATCATTTGTGTTTGGGGCAAGGGATGAGCTGAAATGCGCCTAAATCAGTGTAAATGAAAAGCCATCACAGCTGTTCTGTGCTCTGAGTGCTTTGTTCCTCTTTTTTGATTTATGATTTATGATTTTATAAAACTCTCCGTGGTGACCCAGAGCTCTTTTGCTGATTTTGGCAACGAGACGTGTCACAGTATTTCCAAGCAATAATAAGAAAAATGGGCTGTATTTCTGAGCAAAGAGAGAACAGAGGGGCCTATTGGTGAGAAAAATTCCTAGAAACATGGTGTTTTGTGTAATTTCAGACTGAGCTTTTAGGATTTTATCGCTTAAGTCTCTAAACGGAGAAGTGGATAGAGAATATGAGAAAGATTTTGTGAGGATTTGATTCTCTGGACCATGTTAATCTCACAAATACTCCCTGCCAGCAAACGCGTGAGCTTGTCCTGCATGGAAGAACACAGGGAAAGGGTGGGAAAGCGCAACCAAACGCAGGGATGCGCAGCCCCACGTTGGCCTTCCATCTTTCCCTGACTGCCCTGGGTCTCATCAGGCAGAGAATGAAGGACACATAGAACACACTCGATGTAGCTGAGAGGGGTGTATCGGGATTTAAATCAATAGGGCACTTGTGCTGCCTCTGAAAACCTGATCATGTTGCAAAAATTGGCTATTTTCATGCTTGTGATTCAACATAGTTAACAAAAATCTTAAAAATAACTTTATTCCCAGAGAGCACATGGGCTGACAGGCACTTTCAAAATTATATTTGCCCTGTCTGAACTAGTGTTTATAGACATTGTAGCCTAGAAGTATTAACTAATGCAATTTGGTAGTGTTTCATTTGTCATAACGTAGTCAGACTCGAAAAAGAAGATGTTATCAAGACATTAGGATTTTCCTAATGTTTTTCAGGGTTTGTTGGATTTAAGAGTGCATAAAAAGGCAGGAGCCATGAAATCAGAGAACTTAAAATTATCATTACGAAACTTTTCTAAAACTTTTAATTCTAAGCATTAAAGGTACTGAAATTATCACAAAGCAGACAACTTCTGGAGCTCACTTTTCTGCTCATCAGGTTCATAGTTCTACTGTCAAGGTTTTTCTTTTTCCTTCTTTATGATAAAGGTACAGTTACTGTTACTATGGAAACTGACGCTATGATAAAGGTACAGCTATTGTTGCTATGGAAACTCAGAGTCTGTCCGTAGCAGCGTAGTTTAATGAGACACTGGCTGTGGCAGTGGAGCCTTCCTAAGACATCGCTGTTCCCAGGGCTGCACTTTGTCAGCATCAGTGCTTCCAGCACAGTCCCTTACGGGCCAGGTTAAGGTGAACCAGGTTACAGTAGTTTATTCTGTAGCCTGAGCCAGGCTTGGTTTCCATAAAGTAGTGCACTAGGGGCATCAGTGCTGAGGCTGTAAAAGTGATGCTATAGCAAGGGCTCATTACTGGCTGAACTGCTTGAAAACTAAAAATTCATTTAGCCACATGCTGTTGATTATGACATCGACATTTAATAGCGGTTTTCTATTAAAACATTTAGACTGCAGTACACGGAATGGCATAACTGAGAATTTTCAGGATTTGCATAGTTCGTATCAGAAGTCAATTTAAATATACTATCAAATTCACAAGGTTTTAGGAGTTGCATTTTGTTTTCATTTCAGGATCAGACTATGTGGGCCTGCCTAGCTGCTATGGCAGTTGCCAATAAAGACATGGCTACAGCAGAGATTGCCTATGCATCCATTGGGGAGGTAAGAAATTTCCTAGTTAAATTGCTGCAAAACTAATTTAGATAATTGATTTCCCTTATTAAGGTATCACACATCTTGTTAACAGATTGACAAGGTTCAGTTTATCAATTTCATCAAAGATCTTCCATCGAAAGAATCGAGGATGGCTCATATACTGCTCTTCAGTGGAAACACCCAGGAGGCTGAAACTCTGCTTCTGCAGACAGGCCTTATTTACCAGGCTATTCAAGTCAACATCAATCTTTACAACTGGGATAGGTAATACTTCTCTAAACACAACATGTTTATGAGCTGTCTTTTGGAGGTAACATTTAAAGTTTTTGGATCATTTGTTTCACTCCAGATAATTAGCAGGCTGATTTCGTATCTGTAATAGCCCAGAGCTGTAGAAAGAAGTAAATCATATCATGACAATAGACTGAAGTAGAATGATTATTTTTTCCTGTCGTGTTCAGAAGATGTTAGTAATCTGTAATAAAAATCTGAAACACGCTTAGAAACATTTTTAAGTGACGTTTTACTCTTACATGATTGCCAACATTGGAAAGGGCTTACTAATAGTCAAATTGCCTGTGACCCTCAATGACTTAAAGCTGTTTTGAAATATCCTGTTGCTAAAAATAGATAAGTAGCTATTTAGACTCCCAGCAATGTGTAGGTGGGTAAAATATGACTAAGAAAACAGGATGGGAAAAATTTCTCTTTCAAACCAGAACATGGGTTTTCTTACAAGATCTTATGAGGCTATTTACTACTCACTGCACGGACCAGTGGATCACTGTGGGCAAAAAGGGGGGGTGTTTTTGTTTTTTGTTTGCTTGCGTTTTTTTCTTTTTTTTTTTATAAGCACTTACTGTGTTTTTGATTGCATTGCTTAATATGTGCCATCAAAAGCTGTCTGTATAAAACAGAAGTATTCCTTATGTTGTTGAGAAGAAAACAGATGTAAGAGCAATCAGTTACTCTAATACAATGGCAAATCTCTCACACCTTTAAAATTTTATTAAATGCTGCATAGCATATGCCCTGAATGCACAAAATTCACTGTTCAGAAGAGATTTTTATAACTCCTGGCTGCTGTAAGTTTATTGTAAGTGATTCCTTTTGCCCCTTTTTGAGAACATTGAAGTCTATGCATTGTTTTATGTTTCCTTGAAATAAAACCCTCCTCCTGTAAAATTCCAATCATGAGGCAAAGTTGTGAACAGAAATAAATTGTTGGGTGTTTTCCTAATGTGCATCATAAAGCAGACAGACACTATATGACATGCTGGCTACTTTTAACCTCCTATGATTAATAGTAATGTAAAACTGCTTGGCACTATAGATCTGAAATGTTTGCCTGCAGCCCAGGCACTGTTCAGTGTATCTTTTTTGCAAAGCCCTGGTGATTGTAGTTGTGCCAGAGCATTTAGAGAGCCTGACAAGCCCCTTTTATTCCTGTGCAATTCCAGGGCACTGGAGCTAGCGGTAAAGCACAAGACACATGTTGACACAGTTCTGGCCTATCGACAAAAGTTCCTAGAGGACTTCAATAAAAAAGAAACCAACAAAAGGTTTTTACAGTATGCAGAAGGCGTAAGTATTTCTTGAAATTATTTGGCTTTCGGTGAATTTATTCAGCATCAGAAAAAAATGGTCATACATTTGAACGCTTCTTTGTTCAAAAACAGACACAATTTTATGATTTTATATCTGACTAAGTGCACGTTCATAGCTTAATGCGTGGCTATGTGGCTACTGTTAATTGTGCATGTGTTTTATTTGAAGGCACAGATATGGAATGTATATATTTAGTACCTGGCAAGGATTATACAAACAAAGCCACGTTTTTTTTCCATAAACGGGGAGATAAGCCTTTAGTATGGCTGAATATATTCTTCTTAAATACCTTCAACATTTTTGCATACTCTTCTAAATAGTGACAATAGCAATCTTTGAAGATATCCAGACATATGTTATGAGTAACCTTGAACTGTTCTGCCAATGCTGATAAATAGCTTAAATACACAATTTCATCAAACCTCTGGAAACCTTCTCCATCATCATTAGGTCATTTCAATTTATTAGCATTTCACAGATCTTAAAGACCTAGAAGTATCTTAGACTCCACTGGAGTATCTTCTGTGCATTTTCTTTTATGGGATACACCAGATGTGCAGCTGCGACAGCAATTTCACTGAGCAGCCCTCAGTTCCATACTGGTCTTCCCTCCATGCTTTCTGAATAAGACCATAAAAAAGAATACTTTTAATAAACTTAACTTCCAGTGTAAGACACTAGCTTTTAGTACTTCTAAGGATATTGTATTTCCTAAACAGAAGAATAAAATTCTGCAAGGTGTCTAGGCATCTGATAAACAGCTCTGCAGTACTTTATCTAGAGGATGGAGAAAAGATAACAAGTTCTCTTGTTATACACCAATTTCAGCAGCTAAGTCTTCTCCATAATTTGGATGCATTACTGAACAAAGATCATGTTAATCACTTGATGCTTCTGAAAGAGACTGCTGGATAATGCTGTCTTTAAATCATAATAAAACCCTAATTTCTGGAAGGGATCATAAGAAATAGTGCCTTATTAGTGACAACGTGCAAGAGGGACCCGTTTCATCTTGCCCTCAGTCTTGAACCTTGGGTTTCAGCATGCTGAAAGTCCCTGGAGTCAACAAGTGCTTGAGTGTGTATATTCCATATCCGTATTCTGGAGATCTTGGTTGATGGATCTGAAATTAAAAGGTAGCCAATAAGTGGATTTGGAAGTCTTGGCTACAGTGTTAAAATTCTTAGTGTAGGAGACTGCTAGGGCAAGCTCAGTTAGCAAATCTAGAAGTAAACAATAAGGGTATGAAAGAGGAAAGACCAAGTTTTGTGCTGCTCTTCCTTCTCAAAGAACAGCAAAGAGATTTGTCTCCTTTTTCCCTTTCACCACCTAACATTTCTTCAAGCTTAAGCAGGCAGGTCTCACCACTTTTCTGTGCTGCAGCTGAGACTGCTGCCCTGCAGTCAGCTAGAGAATCTAAACAATGTGCTTGGTTCTTAAATCTCACATCTTTATATACAAGGTATTATGAACTTCTCTATATGCCGAGGATCCATATCTTGGCAGTTACTAGGTGTCACTGGCAAGGATCATGGGCTTCACTGGCAAGTAGCCCTCAGGGCTAGATGGCAGAATGAGCCTTTAGGCATGTTTAGCATCTGTGTGACATCTGGTAAAGCAAACACGTTCTCTCCTGGAGCTCCATAAGGATTTCAGTCATCAGATCTAAAGCACCTGGATCCAGCAAATACATCCCAAACTGACGGATTAACCTTTTCATGTGAAGATGTGGGTACTACAGCTACATCTTCCCTCACAGAAGATTGTGCTATTTTGTGAGTTAACAGAATGACAGTTACTTTGAAAATCCCCTGTGCAAGAACTTGAGATTTTTTTTCCTGCCCGTCTTTGACACACTTGATTCTCCTGCAGTGAAATTGAACTTCACAATTGCACTTTTGCCCCTTTTTTTGGATTTTTTTTTTATAGACATCAAATAGCTCATGATCCCCTCTTTCTTGTCAAGCATTTGTGGGGTAAAAAGGCAACTGTTGTACCCCATTTTACCATGGGTAATCCACCACTGTTGTCTAAAGTTTCACTGGATTAGAATGCAGTCACAAGATGATATGTTTCTGCCTCTGGAGAAATGCCAGGATATGAAACATATATTGATGTAGAGGTCAAATATGAAGCACAAATTTGATTTCTGTAATATCAGATAACTAATGTATATGTCATCATTTTGCCTGATGGACTTTAGGTGCAGTCAAAATAAGTTATGCCAGGTACTACTGATAAAGGGCTGTGTTTTGAATAATAGGACACAGGTTTTTTTGCATTTAAGGTAGATGAGAAGCAGTACACTTATATAAGTTATTTTCATGTTTTAATGTGTTATTACCAGGTGCAATGAGATGTATTCATATTTCTTTTTTTTTAAAAAAAAAAAAGTTTATTTTAAACCTGGAAAGCTCCACTTGTTAGAACTTGCTAGTGCCTTGCTACATTCCGTAATTGCAAGCTGTAACTTATAGGTGAAGAACTATATAATAATAAAGTCACTTTGTAACTTCAATGCTCCCTTTAGTGAATAGGTGTCTGTATAACCTCTCTCTATAATGTTAGCTGACTTCTGCGTATTCTCTTTTTTTGTTCTTACAGCTGGAAGTTGACTGGAATAAAATCAAAGCCAAGATAGAGATGGAAATCGCTAAAGAAAGAGAACGAGCAGCAACAGCAGCCAGTCCAGCAGTAAGAGCTGGTGTAACTGTACAGCAGTAACTGCCATTTTGGTCATATTAACCAAATGTTTTCTGATTATTTTTTATAACCACATATTGATAAATCTAAAATTTTTATGTAAATATGTTGTGGAAAACAGGAGCAAGAAATGGTGTAATTCATGCTAATTGTTGGTTGACAGGCAGAATTATTTCTTTACTCGGTGCAGTTCTGAGCTGGATTAAGATTCAGATTCCCTAACTCCAGTGAATAGTTACTCTGTGGTCTACTATATATGCTGGAGGAAAAAGAAATGGAAATTTATCTTTGTCTTTCTGTCATTTGCTTTTAAATTTTCATTGCCATTAAAATTAATTAATCTGGTTGACTCTAGCTAAGCACTGAATTCCTTGTCTAAGCATCTAGTTAAGTAGTTCAGTTATTTCTGCAACATCAGTTACTTCTGAAAAGCAGGTGACTTGGTAAACTGCCTTAAAATGAATGTAGAAAACTATAAATATTGATAAAAAGAAAAGGGATCTTGCACTTGTAAAATGCAGAAGAATGTTTCACTTCTCGTTCTAGTAATATATGTAGTTGCAAGTTCTTCAGCAGATGCTTCCAGGTTATTTCAGCAACTCAGGTTGGTCATGCTAGCACACTTATTTCCTGAAAAAGCGCATCTTTTAAGAAAAATTGAGTTACCATGAAAAAATAAAGTCATCATTTAAAATACTAGGGAATGTGCTTTGAATTTTGTTTGAAGTAACAAACAGCATCGCTGGCTGGTGTTGCGGGATCTAACACATAATTGGCAGTGAAATCTGGAGCTCCAAAGTTAAAGTACCATAATCACATTTAAAAAGGAAAAGCTTTCCATGTATATTTTTTTTCTGCCTAAAGCACTTGATTTTTCAATAGGTTGTTTTAAAACAGTTTGTTCAACATGTGTTGTTTCATCAATATATACTTTTATCTGTTTTACATATTAAAGTGTGTGCATATATTGGACACTCTTTGCAAGAGACTTTTATAGTCTTGGGACATGAGTAGGCTGTTTAATTATTAACATTGTAAAATATGCATGTCTCAAAGGTTACTACCAAAATGTCAACACAGTTATCTGTATATATATTTAATTTCTGGTTTAATATTTTGTTCTGTAACTTACTATATGACTTTTTTTGCATAATCATTTTTCTAATAAAAATTCAAATAAAGCAACTCTTTTTTTTAATGCTATTTAATACATGGTGCATGAGATAGGTTACCTGACCACTAAATGAAACAGTTTGATGCAGTCTGGGCTCATTTGAAGCTCCCCAGGATTCTGGTATGCTGCACATGCTGCAAAGTCAGCACCTTATCCTCCAGTGACTTGCAGGAGGCACTTACTAGTTCCAGAATCGAGTGCAAAATATCACTGGTGGCAGATATTTAATGTTAAGTTTATGAAGCCTGGCGCGGATTTGTAATGCAATATTAGCAGTTTTTGGATTTTGGATCAGTTATACAGATTTCAGGATTTCAGTTCAGTTCTTGTTTGGGAGCAAGGCCTCAGGCGTAGAGTCTTCCAGCCTACGAAAACTTTTGCCCAAAAAAAAAGAATGCGGATTTCTTTTTCTTAATAGCTGTAAAAATCATTAAAAAAAGCTCTTCACAAAGCACCCCCACAACTGCCTTTCCAGCATGGGGACCGGTGGGGACGCCCTTTGCAGGAGCTCCAAGTTGCTGGAGTTGGAAACGCAGAGCTGGAACGTATCATGCGGTGGTTTTCAAGCACATCTGCAACTGCAAAAAGGCTTGAGAATCAAGAAGGTGACTCTGCATATGTTAAAACCAAACCCCAAAAAAGCCATTACCTCACAGCGCAGAAATCTGCATGGCCAGCACATATTTTCTTTCGGACTATTAAGAAAAGGGAAAATGAGAGAAACGAACCCTCACCCATGATTCTGATTCCTCCCCAGCCTTGCTCATCCTTTCTTCTCAACAACTTGGAGCTACATTGCATTTTCCTCACATAAATAAAATGAGGAAGTACTGCAGCAAAACATTAGCAGCATCGACTGTGGGGCCAGACTTGATGCACTGCATGCAGAGGTTGCCATCCGCTATTCCATCTGCTAAAGTTAAAACATTAGGAAGATTTGACCGTGGTAGTTTCCCCGCCTTGCAATAATTAACTGCAATGCGGATTTCAGTGCTCTGCCTCCCTGGACAGGCTCTCATCCGGTAAGTTTACGTTGTGACTTTTAGTGTTAAAACGATGGTCATCCCCTCGGTCATCGCTGACATTTGTGTGACAAGGCTGCTCAGGTAAGAGGGCTGATCTCTGGTAGTGGTTCTTTTATTTTCCTGACTGAAATGATATTAATTTGTATTCATTTGATTTGGGGATTGTAGCCTTGACCGCATGTGGTGCTTGAGCACCCGTTGAACCCGGAGCCCCGTGGTCATGGATACGTTAGTAGTTAAACAGCAAAGTACCCAAACGTATTAAAACACAGCAACAGCAACAGCTACAAGTCAACAGAGACCAATTGGTCACAGCTGGACAGATCCCTGCAGTGCTCTGGAATAATCAAAAATCTATTTGTGTTCGTTTTTGTTTCTACAGGGGGCAACGTTTTCCCAAACCGCCGTCGCCGTTAGTCACGCCGTCTCTCGAGGGGCTCTGAGGACGCAGCCTTGCCTTCCCGCGATGATTTCACCCCGCTATTTACAGCTCGGACCCGAAGCCTCTGCCTGGTGCCGGTGCGTAAATCCTCGCCCCCGGAACGCGCATCCTCCGCGCGCACTCTCGCCTTGCCGGGGGTGTTCAGGGTCCCTGGGGACCCTTTTCCCGGCTGTTTTAACCTTCCACATGTGCTATTTTAGATGCCGCCCCAGCCAAGCGCGGTGGCGGCGCCCCGGGGGCAGGAAATGGGGGCCGAGGCGGTTCGACCCTTCTATTTTTATTCCGTTTTTTATCAGCCATGACTAAGGGCAGCCGCCTCGAGGGCCCCGTTGGGCAGCCCACGGGTGCGAAAGGGCGACCATGGGCTCCTAGAGAGGAGACGCAAGGGTCGGCAGTGGGAAAAACGTCGGAAAGGCTCCGGAGCGACCGTGGCCGTCCGGAGCAGCAGTGTCACAGCCGCCCTGTACGTCACCGCAGCGGGCGCCTAGTGCGCGTGTGTGCTACCTGGTACTGCTAGCATGTGTGTATATAGTAGCCAGCACATCTAGCGTATATCTAGTTTATATGAATACAGATATCCCCACCTACATATCTGTATATATGCTATATATAGTATATGTGTAAATATATATAAGCATATCTATACATAGTATTGTATATATAGTGTGTATACACAGATATATACTATACTTCTGTACTTTTTATATACTCTCTTATATAGCATAATATGTATACACTATAGTATATATAGAGATACTATCTAGTTATATATATGTACACACTACATATATATAGTTATATCTACAGATATATTAGACACGTATCTATCTGCACTATAGCTGTGTATATACAGTGCTTATATAAGGTACCCACGCACTGTGCGCTGAGGCGCGATGCGCGGCCGCGCGCACCCATACGCGCCTATACGCGCCTATACGTAGCTGTACGTA